TTAACACTTAAATCTATATCTTGCTTGTAACGAGTCTTTAATTGGTAAGTATAGGTAGTTTCAGCTTTCAGGCCAGTAAATCATTTAAAAATATTAAACTATTGTACGACTTAAGCAGATATGGATTGCACAAACACCAGGTAACATTTAATCTTGCTCACAATTCTACACAAATGAGGTGGCAAAAAGAGGCTTAAGATGGCGATTAGTGCCTTAGATGAAAAAATTCTTTAAATGGGTCGTGGACTTGAGAAGGTCTTTGAAACCGAAGGCTATGAAAACTTAGTCCCTTCTTTTCTGGTGAAAATAAAATGTGCGAGCAGAGCTCTCTGGATGTTTTTCTAATAGGGTACAGCTAATGTCTTAAAATGCTATGAATTCTGACGGAGTAATCCTTCTTGAAGCAAATAGCTTCTGCTAAAGACATGTAGCTGTCAGAACGTTAATGATGCTCAGTACGAATCGACCAGCGTTATAAATACACGAAAGTTCTTTGAGACTTCAACTGCCAGTCATGATATATTGGTGTAATGATACATTGCGAGTCGACGATACCCTTGTCTATTTTCCTAAGCAAAGTAATGTCAACATCGTTGGTGGAGCAATTGTCTCCCCTCGTAGTTAGTATGTTCAAATGGCCCTGCCGTGCAAATGTTTTTAATTAAGCCCTCCTCCACATCTAGTGACAACCTTATCTTCACAGGTAACTTAAACCTGATTTTGGTGCAGTATTTAACGAAGCATCAGAATCATACAAAGAGCTGTCAAATTTGTTTGCTAGATGTATTCAAAGCGAAATCCAAATCTAGATTTGATCGCTTGCAGTCAAATTCTCATACTAATACAACAGTAATCAACTCTGAGCCAATATCCGATTCCTCTTCACCAAACATAGTATTTCCTTACCTAAAATAGCATGAATTGTTCTTAATAAAGTTCTTGTGGTACAGAATTTGAAAATGGCTTTGAAAAAACCCACTTTTAGACATAATGAAGCTCTTCATTTGATACTTTTCAGAGTATGAAACGTCAGAACTACGCTAAAAATTAGAAAATATATATAGCAAGTTGTGCACCGATACAATCAGAAACGCGCGCACATGATAGTAAAGGTTGCACAATCAGTGCCACTTGCCTAAAAATGTTACTTCTCTTACCTTGTAATTGCTTAAAATTATAATCTATACATTGTAATTTGATGACTAAATAACGCTTAAAATCCCCAGTACAACTGGCTCTCGGTCTGCCGGTCTGCATGAAGAACTGCACTCTTGCTGCCAAGCTGAAAAGAAAGAAAATCATTTAAGCATAATAAGGAAGAGAGGCTAACACACAATTGATGCAAACTGCCTTAGCCATAGACTTGTCAGTATAACGTCGTCATAGCTTTAAAGGACGGTATATTGATTAATTAATGCACATGAGATTACAGATGGAATAAGTGTTAGATTAACCTGGAAAGACAACATTATCTACGTCTCCTTGAACTGGAGTTTGCTTAGAGGCACAACATAAGATGTATGCTATGGCATGCATTTGTGACAAAATTTAAATATCTTGATATACATAAAGCATTTTATGAATATAAGAATCCAGTGTTAAGACATAATCAAAGACAGATTCAATCTACTTCCATTCTTTCGTGTTTTCTAGTATTGATTCAGTTGGCTAGTTATACAAAAAAAGAACCTTGCTTCTGCTCACATAACGTTTTGTGCATTGATGAGGCAGTAGTGTTTTCACGAAAACTTTGTATCAGAATTGCAGACAAGCTAACTATTGCATTTTGTATCGCAGACTGTTTCTTTCTTGAACAAACAAGTTAATTAATTCGTTATTTTTTCCTAGTACAATTTTACTTAAATTCCTAATTACATTTTGTTTCTCTCTTGCGCACCTCAGGTTCCCAGTCTGTCACGCAGGCCTAGGGCTTTAATCACACAGAAATAGTCTTTGCGTTAGGATTAGAAACTTTGGGACTAAACATCACACTACAAGACATTATGCTATAAATAAAATGCTCCATGAATGATGTTGATGTTTTGTTTTTCAATAGTTAAATGCTACACCTCTGAAAACAGATCTATTTTAAACAGATAAGCATAAAAAGTATTAGTGTGGTAGTGGCTAAGTAAGTTTTTCTTGAAAATCTTATCAGGTTGGACATTTAAAAACCTCGAAAGAAAAAGAGGATTTACAGTATCAGTGAACACAATTATCAGCTGAGCTTGAGGCTAGAAAAGAAGAAAAATAGGAGGAAATGTCGAAGCAATCGTCTGCAACAACAATTTAGTAAATATTGATAAATATCACGTCCTATCATTTACAATAAATAATTCAATATCGACTGAGAGAATGAATACAATAAATGGAGACATGGACATCATAGTGGTTTTAAATTTCATAAAGGATATTAACAATCGGCAGAACTGCACTCAAATAATCTAATCGTGTGTTGAATTAATTGAGAATTGAGTTTTTGAATGGATGACCCAGCTTCAGACTTCCATCTCAACACTTATTTTTATTTCGTTATGTCGTTATTCGTTTTACTCCAGCCACCATTCACCACATTGGCGGTAAGAAGAGTCCTTGGCTCAAATTTTTGGGTCAGAGTCTTCAAAACCAGACTACCAACTTGCGACTGTGCACCTGTAAACACGCCAGGCCATTGCAAGCGTAGATTACCATATATTTTTAACAACACGTTTCAGCCGTAGATCTAAAATTTCTAAGTGAATCTTTCCGGCTTTGGGCAAAGAATTTCCTGATTATTTTTCTAGCATTCGGCAATTTTGATGCTAGCCGTCTCTGGAAAACCTGTAAAATCACTTGGTGTTTTTTGCTTCAGTTTTTCTGCACACTGACTCTGTTTCTCATATGCTAACATCAGCGGCATCTTTCAGTGTCTTCTTATCACCTTCTGGGCAACCACTTTCCCAGATTACTGCAAGACAAATCACCCTCTTTCTCTCTTTTTTTCACTTTGATTGTTGCTTAAAAACAAAGAATGTTACCATATTAAGGCTTCAGTCTGTAGATGCAATATTTCTCTGCTATAACATGAATTCCAAACTTACATATATGCCACCATATGTCACAATGTACCACCAAGTGCCATTATATGTCATTGTGTGCCTTTTTTGCCATCGTGTGCCATTATGTGCCAAATGTGCCGTTATTTTTTTACGAGTTGTGCGAAATCTGACAGACTTCCAGTAGTATAACCAGAAAAAGCTCTTGCAAAAGCACCCACGATAACCCCCGGAATCCATTGAAGAACTTTGATTATTATTAATACTTTGATTTAAAGTTGGCTGTTCGAAATAGCTAGAAATAAAAGCTAATTAAGGCCAACTATTCACAAAAGGTGTATGCAAAAAAATACATAATAATTACAAAAACCTAAGCCATAATTAAAAGTTTTGCAAATCCTACAGTTGCAATGTTTGCTTAAGATGTTTGCTAAAAACATTCAAGGAGATTGAGGTTTTCAGTTCTATAGGAAATTTTGCCCATATTCTTTACCATAGCATATGATTTTCACTTTTGATAGGCACACATTTCTATCATAAACAAAGGATTCAAGTGATTCCTTGTTTTGTAAATTTCAACCATGAGCAACTGTAAGCTCTTCTAATGTATAGATACAGAAATATCATTTTCTAACAATTTCTCGTAAGGAGATGTGTTGTCTTTGTATGCGATTCGAAGGGCCCTTTCCTGTATCCTGTTTATCTTGTTATTAATATTTTTGTCATGGAACATCCAGATTAATGGGCAGTAGCTGAATTGTGACATTATAAAAGTGTTCATCATCAATTTCATTTTTTGGATTCCATGAAAATCGAAATGCGAGCATGCAGTTTTTGGCTGGCCTTTTTACAAAGAGTCTGCTCATGAGTTTTGAAGTTAAGTTTTGTATCTAGTGTAACTCCCAGGAAGGTTTCTTCTTCATTTTCTTCTATTACCGCCATTTCTACATGTAATTTTATCTTGTCATTTTTCTTGCCAAATATTATAAAATGACATTTGTCCGCATTTAATTTCATATAGTTCTCAGGATACCAGGTTGATAGTTGGATGACATATTGTTCTAGTTCGCCAATGACATTTTTAGCCTCAGAGTCGCATATGTAGATAGTGGTATCGTCTGCATAGTTGCATATTTCGGATCTATTCATCAAAAGAAAAAGGTCATTCATATAAACGTTAAATAAGAGAGGCCTAGAGGCCCTAATACTGATCCTTGTGGGACTCCGTTTTGAACTACTTTCCAAGTGCTAAACGACCCATTAATTTAAACTCGTTGTCTCCTTTGTGACAAATAGCTGTGAATCATGAGTAGGGCACCTCTACCAAAACCATAGGCATGCAATTTTGCTATCAACAATTATTGTCTATTCAGTCGAAGGTATTGGATAGATCCATTGATAAAGCACCTGCAATGCCTCATTTGTCTAGGGTCATTTTACAAATTTCCAACAATCTCAGTAGAGCGTGCTGTGTGTTGTAGCCTTTCCTAATACCACAAAGCAAAGACGACAAAAAATTCCCAAAAAATTGACAAAAAATCAATCTATCTGCAAAATTGCTACTATAATAATGCATCTTTATCTCATTTTATCAGTGCAAATTTAGTTATGCCACTCGCAACAAAAAACACCTTTCCACTTGTGTGCATGTATTTCTATTTCTTTTACAGCTATCAATCTATGATATTTCTTAGCGCAAGCTCTGAGCCTCACCAAGCCAAAAGTCTATCAAAATGCAAAATATGAACATTAATTGATCTTTTAGAAGATTATCAGGCTTTTACCACCAAACAAGCTTTAAATGAATCTAGGTTATGGTAACATTTGTCTGTCTTCCAAAACATTTGATAGATTGTTTAATTTTGAAATGGCTTTTAGACTTTTTATATTAAAATATTTCTCTTGATATTTGTCACAACCTTGGCTTTGTATTTGTCTAACAGCTTGCTTAAATTTCACTTTTAGGGACAGGAAATGCTAAAAAGCCATTGCCTGATACAACCACTCCGGATGAAAAAGATCAGCAAATCATTGAAACCGAAACAAAAGACAACAATGCCGAACAGAATACGGGGAATAAGGAAAAGAGTGATACACAGGGTGAATCTGCAGGTAATAAGAAAAGAGTCTGCTTCACACAAAAGCAAATTGTTGAACTCGAAAAAGAATTTCATTTCAACAAATACCTGACGAGAGCTAGAAGAGTCGAAATATCCCATGCTTTGCGATTATCAGAATCACAAATTAAGATTTGGTTTCAAAATCGAAGAATGAAATACAAACGAGAACAAAAGGAAAAAATGTGCAGGACAGAAAGAGATAGAGAGTCGCTGGTGACTGTGCCACCAAACCGTTGTCCAGTTTCTTCTTGTGAGTATGTTGGATTTAATTACAACTCTTCTTGGCCTCACACGTGCCAAGAGCAGCCACCGATTCTACCACCGATAACACCTCTGCAGACATTTTAGATGACCAAAAAATTTGAGCAATGAACAGTTCTAAAAGAAACGGTTCAGTGACATATTGTAGTGCACTGTGCGCCAAATCGTTTCAACAACTGTAATTTGTCACAAAGTGATTTAAAAAATCATTCAAGAGGGTACTCTTAAAGGACTTATAGGCAACAAAGAAGTCAACAGCAAATTTTCTGTTGGGCCTCTGGGGTAAAAAAATAAAAACTTTGATGATATAATTTGAAAACCATAGGGAAGGCTCTTAGTTGTGATGTACAGTGATAGCTTAGTCAAGTGGCTGGTCAAAGACGTAATGAATTGCGTTGGCTTGCATTTTCCTCGCATGCTTTTGATGAGAGCCATATCAGAAAATTTCTCTAAAAAGGAGCATTTTGTCATTAACTGGCTCGTCCAAGTAGAACACATAACGGAAATAGCAACCTCGAGAAGCAACAAATTGCATTTGTAAACTATTGGGGTTCTGTAAGCTACTTTCTAGTTGGACTTGCTATAAGTCTGTCACTTTTAACCTGTAAAATAAAGAGAGAAAATGAAAAAAAGGAGAGGGTTGGAGAGTGGCCTGTAAAGCCTATTTCTGTTTTTCTTGCTCTATTTTACAGATGTTGCCTTTTCTGGACTATTCGAAATACGAACTAATTAGTTCTTGAATATCTAGATTGCGAGCAGACTGCGATTGTTTACAGGACAGATTGTTCTGTAAGTGAAAAGGCCAGGTCCTGGTCTCGTTTTCGTGTTATGCCACCTGACAGTAAGCAATTATATCATGTCAGTAGGACAAGAAAGTTACAACTAAGTGGATTGATTGGCCAATTAAGTGAACGTTAACCCAAACGAAACCTGCTTGGATAGCAGAACAGATAAGATCATATTGGATTAGCGTAATCTAACATTTTATCTGTAGCCACGTCACTGACAATGTCCCTTAAATTTAATCCATTTCTTGATTCATCGCTAAATAACGTTTGCTTTGGGTCACAGTCAAGCAATAGATAGCAGTAGTTTTGGTATTTCCGATTCAAAATATATCGCCTTTTAAGGGTTTCTGAAGTTTAGAATTTGTTATATAAATAGAGATATAAGACGTATAGATAGCATTTCGTAGCTAAACCGTAGTTCATAGCTTTCCTACAATGCAAAAAGCAAAAAAACAGTAAAGCTTGAAAAACGGGAAGGCAAATGAATGGACCGCCTACATGAACAACATTAATGGGTTGTTATGTGGTCTCTAATCTTTAAACTGGGATACCTTTTCACTTACAAACGTCTTAATTATAGTTCTAACTGCAACAATTTAAAGCAATTTCTCAACATGTTTTAAGGAATATAAACCAAGAAGCATCTCACATTCAAAGAACGCGAACACTCTATTTTAGATTAACTTTTTTATGCTAAACTGTGTTTTCTGGTTGATCACTTCTTTTCTTTTAACCACTCAGAAAAGAGCACTAGCCACAATGCTTGAATTTGTGGCTGTTTAATCTACAAAGTTCTTGTTGCACTTTACCAGGAGAGTTTCACTCTATATCGTCAATAGAGTTCTGGACAATAGTGAAAGAATATTCTCTTGCAATACATAGAAATGTTATGAACAGCTCTATTAGTTCTTTTCTTGCTTCCATATCCTATTCCGTATCACGTGCATTACACTAAGCTATTATTATAAAAGGGTTAGTTCTTCAACCAACTGTTATATCCACTCGAAACGTAACTTATGTTATTTCAAATAATGTTTATTTTCTTAAGTAATATTTCAGATAATTGATAACAATGTGCAGCAGTTAGAGACAGCCTTTATGCGATGATTAACTCCATTTTGACTCTTCAAAATCGCTTCACTTAAAGTTTTGATTCAACGTCAACTAGAAAGACACTCTTGGAAATATTAGAATGCAAAAGCAAATTATCGAGTAGTTATTTAAACGATGGAAAGTTCCTGAAACTAGTTAGCTTGTAGAGTTATATTTCAGAAATTAAATTAATGAAGTTCATACTGGGTAATCCATTTTGAGATGTCTGCTTCGATGAAAATAGAAAATTCTTAAAAAATAATAAAAGACTGGTTTGTTTGTCAAGTTTATTTACGAAATATTAGATCTGATCTGACCTGTAAATAAGGCGATGATCATTAGTTCAGTATTTAATGGTTTTATGCTTAACTTATAGAAAACTTTGCATGGAAGATATTTCCAAAACTACGGTCTATTTTGAAGTAGCAATGAGATCTTAAATGTAGTTCCTATGAAAGAAGTCTCATGTTTTGCAAGTACAAATCTTTTGGTCACTTTATTGATGGATTGCACAAAGAAAAATTAAAATTTATTGGAATATATTATATTTATCTTCTGTGAACTTCTGCAGATAAGTTTTTACAATGTGTATCTCCTTGCCAAGAAAGATTATGTGGAAGTTGAATTAATACAAAAACGGCAAAACAAATTTGTATTAGAACTTGTAAAAATACTGCTTGATTAGGCGGAATAGAAGCCTTAAAAAATTTTTTCGTGGTACAATATATATTAAAAATTGGCTTTTTTCGATTTTCAAAATTTGCTTCTGGTGGTACATTTTTAAAAAAATTAAACGTTTTAAATTTTTCTCAGTATTTTTATCTTAAGCATTTCATAGTTTAAACGTTAGAATTACGACAAAAAAAATCAAGATTGAACAAATATATACCATTTTGTATATCATAAAATGCGAGCACGCGAGCCTCTAACTTGTAGCGTAGTAAAAAACGAGCTTCACCAGTCAATACAATTCAAGACCTATCACAAATCTTATTTAAATGTCTTTTTACATATGAATAATTGTAAGCTTATAAATACAGACAATACAATATGATTCAAAAACATGATTCTCTATAAGCTATAAGAAAAAATCTTATCAAAAAGTTTTAAGATAACCTTCAAATAATGTTGACTGATGACTGTCTACAAATTGTTGTCCAGACAACTAGAAATCGAGGCAGTTTTCAATTAATTTGGTGAAAAGGGTTAAAGATTTTGACAAAGGTAGTTGTGAGTATAAACACAACAAACAGCGCGAAAGTAACAGAAGAAATGCATTACGTATAGAATTCACTCAGCTGTGAATAAATCTTACTTAAGATTCAAATATGATTCAATGAATCAATAAAGTAGCTATGCGAAAAATTAAAAGAGTATTCCTGTCTGTCATTGGTTTTAATTGGTGCTTATTTATGTATGAATTTGTTTACACGAAAGCTAAGATATCAGTCACTGGATCAGCCAACTCTTAAATGACTGATATATTTATGACTATTTTTGATCAACCCGTGTTTTGTTTCTTTAGGATAACATGTTTTCTCTCATAAAATTTTTTCTTCAAATTATTGTTCTTTCATACTTCTGTGTATCGCCAGATGGCTTTTATCAAAATCCTTTCAATTTGCTATACTTTTTTTCTTTCATTTATGATTTGAAAAAATCAAAGACCTTGCATGATAATTTTTTCAAAACAACACTGATTTTTTGACATTGCAAATATATCTTGCCGGGTTCACAGAAGCACTTCGTCAGCTTAATCTCTGCTACGATACTTCATCAGTAAAATCGCCTATCTGAAGTGTCAAAGTAGACGATGTTAAAGATTTGAGCATATTTCCTTGGGCTCTTCATGCCTACTAAAAGCGATCAGCCGCCTAGCAATATTTTAGTACCTTAAGCAACAGTTTATCAACATTGACAAAGCAATTTCACTGCAATTTGTTTCAAAACGTAGGAATTAACACGAGATATCAAATATCAGACAGCTTTCTGCTCAAGTGTAAAGAGAATTTGCTAACTTTACAGTACATTTACATACAATGATTGACATATGGGGGTGCCAATAGCAAAAACTTTGCCTTACTATTTTGTTGTACATGAATCATTTATTGCTCAGTATTAGAATAATACGTAGATCAGCTTTGCAAATCTTTTTTTAAATCTTGCTTTTGCATGAACGACCACGCAAATCTCTTTTTAGAAGTGGCTACAACTTGGATATTCTGTCTATCTGCCTCATACCAAAGCCTCTTTGGGCAAATTACAACAGCCTCGCATCCTTTAAGAGTGCTTCATATCCCTTTAGCCCGGACGGGCAACCTACGGTCCGCGGGTCAAATCCAGCTAGTCGGCAATCATAAAGTTGCCTTTTGACTATCAGAGCTGAATTAATTGAATTAATGAAGAAAAATTCCAAATCATTGCATGCTGGAAATATTTCCCTTCTACGCAAAGTATTTTGTATCTCTAACAATAAAGTGAGCATGAAGTGCATACTCATGCAAAGAAAACCTCAGGCCCCAGGAACGGTTATATTTGGATGAAGTTTTTTGGCTAGAAATTTCGCAAAAACAATGGGTGTATGCATATACTACTTATTCTTGTAGATTGAGATTTGATCTCCGCAAATTTGAATCTGGTTAGCTTGACACAGCACTAGAAGGCAGAGTAAAACACTAAGCCTTTGCTTATGGACATGATCTTTTTACTTTGAAATTTTTTGCTTGTGCTCAACGTTTCCAACATAAAATTTCTTTCCCAATGGCAAATTCCTTTCTACATGTAGTACATTCATAGTAATTGTAATATTATTATGACAGGAAAAGTCTAAATTGTAGCGCTTGTCGTAAAATTTATGTCCCATGAAATTCTAATCCAAGATGCCTGAAAATCCAAAGAAATGACATCACATCAGGTCAGCATAATCTGAGGAGCCAGCAATGTAAAGAAAGTTTCCTCTTAACCCTAATTGTGGCAAACAATTTTCTGGAGCTGTTTTTCCTTTTGTTATAATCTACAGGTTTATCTATATGAATAATTTGAGCTGATTTTAATCATCTTAGCAAATAGCAGGAAGGTAACAACCCCCCTTGCCCCCTTTATTAGGGACCCTTTAGCCTAGCCTGTCCCACCAAGGAACCTTGTCTCAGCTCTATTGTGATGCTCGGCTGAATTTATACTGTAAGAATAGCTATGTTAAGATAAGAACCAAAGAGTTGGTCAGTAACCTTTTACTGAGTTTACAAACAAAATCAAATCTTGGTTAGGAGAAACCTGCCACTGCCAGTAGGAGAAACACTTATTCCAAACTTAAGCTTGATTTGATTTTAATGTTTTTTATGCTAAAAATGTCTTATTGTAATGTTTACTTTATTTTTGCTATCAACAATTATTTATAACTACAGACCATATGCATATTGTAATTTTTTAATTGGCCTAAATTAGCTTTTATGATAACTACTGTATTTTTTGCTAGCCAACTTCTAAAGAAATTGATAATATAAAATTATATAAATGTATATAAAAAATTCTTTAAGGAAAGTCGTAGCTATTTGTCCCGAAATAAAAAGGGCTACGATGGTTGATAGCCTCTTGCCTTTGTTTTTGAAGAATCGTCATGTAAACTTTGAAACGATTAGCGCAGCATTTAAGGAGAGGGGATTAAACCTACATATTAGCTGTTTAGTGGTATTGTCTGGATTTTAACTTTGATTTACTTTTCTTGTGAGATAGGTAATCTAGGTTTGTTTACAACACATGGCAACCTACCACAAAGTGGATGAGATGCCAGGAAAACAAAGCATTTTCACAATTTGAAGAAACTCTTTACATCTATACAAGCAAGCTCGCAGAATTCAATTTGGGTTTTTTATGATTAATTCTTGATGTTGAATGGATTGAAATATTGCGATCATCTATTCTATAAAGAAAAAAATACACAAGGAAACTGCAAAAATAAATTCTCAGTTCCTAAACAAATTACTTTCGAATTCTACGACCAACCAGGATATATTACTGTATATTCCATCTTTAAACTAAATGCTTAAAAACATTGTCATTAACTCTATTTAGCTGAATTGCTATCTAAAATGTCTTTAGAATATTGATCCCTAAATCTTCATAGCCTTTGATCATTTTGCTTCATGATTTAGCAGATTTTGCTGCTTCTTATAGCGACTTCTATCAAATAGATATTTATGCAACAGAACTGGATCAAAAAAACCGGTTGAATGAGCTTGTGTCTGCTACTTAAATAAGTATTTGCAGTTATTTGCAGGTATTTGCGCGTACTTTTGATTTGTGATCGACATTTTTCTTTTTGATTCAAAGAGTCTTTCAATAAGCAACAACGTAATTAAACCTGATTACATCTATTTTGTAATCGAAGGTAGAGAGAAGTGCAAAGAGCCTAGATATTTAACTCATGATGGTTTAATAGTAAGATCAAGACAAGCTAATTGAATGGTAATGAAGCTGTCATAAAAACATCATTCTACAAAGATTAAATGTTATTACTGCAGTGTAGATGACTCTTGTTTAATAACTCCAAACGCTTCTGAAAATCAATTGTGTGCTAAGAGACTTTAATCATTTGAATTTAGCTTTTTGCTTCTCGTGCACATAAAATCGCAGAACCTTTGCAATTTCTCATATTAATCTCCATTTTCACTGATTGATGAAATGCAAACTGTAAACGTTAGTAATGAAAAGAAACAACGAAAAGCCATTTATATTCTTTATTAAACCATGATGTTAATGTAAAACGTGTTCACTTGAAAGGTACTATTTTTACTAGCGAATTACAGTCTCTAATTTTTAAGGCTTTTCAAGATGCCAAGCATTAAAATTCATTAACTTTGTCAGCTAGACATCCCATCAATTCGGGGCCCTTTTTTGTGTTTATCTGCAATACAAGTCATCTTTAGCCTTACGGACCTTGCATATTCAGATGAAGAATAACAACATAGTAGATTTTCTAAAATGCCTTTAGAGAAAATTGTCTGGAAAAACATTCGCAATTACATATTTTCATATTTTCAAATCTTTTTAGAAGGAAGGAAAAATTAATCTTATTTTGAGATGAATGTCATGAAATCAGCAGATGAATACCCGGGATTTGAATGGTCATAAAAACAACCCGCGCACCATGTAGGAAGGTTTCTGTTTTATCTTATCATACACTTTGGTTTTATTTAAACTATGAGTTGTCAATACAAATGTATTTAAAAGTATAACAAAGGCTACTATGATGCTTCTAGCTATGTTCCTTAAAATTTGAAATGTAACTTTTAAGCTTCATGCTGTTATAAGGCTTGGAAAGTGCATAGACAGCTAAAGAACTTCCTACATTAAAAGTTTCACTTCAATTCCAATTTTTTAATTAAGGATTCTAGAAAAAGCAATGGCAGCAAAACTTTGTTTTTTATTCCTAAATATGAAAATCAAGGATTTCTAAAGTCTAGCCATGGTTAAGGATTCAGGGTAAGACATCTCTTCATTTGGCAAGTCAACAAGACGCCTTTGAGACTGTGTAAAAACTTTGCATACTCTGGATGATAAACTCTTTAGCCTTCTATAAGATCTTTTTAGCAAAATATAGAAAGCAGACATTAAAGAAACCGCCTCGTATTTAGCTAATGAAAATCTTTTACTAAGCCTCATGTTTCAAGTGGATTAATTAATAACACTTATCAGCTGCTTAGAGTCACAGCACTAATTCCAAGCCTTTTGTTGCGAAAACAAAAGTTTCCTTTTACGAGATATTGTTACTGTCAAACAATGATTCTCCGTTAATAAGGCTTAGGCTTCTAGATGGCTTTCATGAAACAACTTTGTGTTGAATAATCTCCTCGTATGGCTCCATTGAAGTGGCGTCAGACTTGAACGCTGGATTTAAGATAGCACTGACTCACTTTGATGGATCAGCTTTTTAAATGTAGACAACATTATCAAAGAGCGTTAAAGATCTCATAGTTAGTGTTAAGAATAGAAAAGACATAGTAAATTCGGAGCCTGCTTTTTTAACGACGCACATGGGACAAATCTTATAGATTTAGATTGGTTTACATTGGACATGCAAAATAGTCAAAATACAATAGAATACGGCTGATTTACAATAGAATCATACAAATCGTTAAACTGCGATTCGATGGTACACAGTATTTGCTGTGCAATAGGAACTCATGCGGTTACCTTCCTTAGAGGATGCTCTGGTCCAACGTCTTTGTCCGCCTTGTGTTAGGGTTGATGAACTATAGCAACCCCCATTTTTTGAGTATCAAAGGCATTTTAGTATTTTAAAAACGTTTACACAAAGGAAAGTTAAACGATTTTGAAAAGAAAAAAGGCCAAGTCTTAAAGGATTTTAATTCAAATTGGCCATTGGAGGGACTTGGACGTGAAATAGGCCTTATATTTGAGGGGAAAAAATCAAGATCAGTTTTGTAATTCTAAATATTAGGATAAAATTTGGCTTGAGAACCTTTAAGAATACGTTCTCATTAAACATTTCTGGTAAATAATTAAAGCTGAAAAGATTCTATGCACTTAGAATTTAATGGTTTTCTAGTTTCTAATCAATTTCCCGTCTTGTATTTTGCTATTTCTGGGAAATATTTACCATTTTGCCTGAATATAGTGCCTAGAGAATCTTCCGACTAGATTCAAGAACTCTCTAAGCTGTTCTTCCCTGCTTTGAGGTGTAAACTTTTTCTACTACGAAGCTTTTCTATGATAATTGATTTCTTCAACCACAATTAATTAAGTGCAACAAGACTCATTTATTGCAACGTTGATGATTAATTTGACTCGAGGTCAGATTTTCATCACAGCCTCGTTTCACCTTGGTCGTCTTGTACACAAAATGGCGCTGGCTTCAAAGGTCACTTCCATATTCCGTAGCAACCTATTTGAAGGTAAGGTTGCTGTCGTAACTGGCGGTGCTACGGGAATTGGAAGAGCTATAACAGAAGAACTAGTACACCTGGGCTGTAAAGTAGTAATCGCTTCAAGAAAAGAAGACCGTCTAAATAAAGCTGCAGATGAAATAAACTCCTTGGTTGCAAAAAGAAAAGATGAGGACAGTACCCCTCTTGTCTTGCCAATAAAGTGCAATACTCGACTGGAAAATGAGGTATTTACATTCTGATTTATGGCACAGCCGTTAGCATGTGTGAAATTGCCCCAGGTTGGAATCCGTGTCCACTTTTGATCGTCAGCAAGCAGCAAATATCTATCATCATATGTGTATGGCTCAAATTCGTATAGTACACATAGTTATTTGGCCTTGCGTACAATGTTGCTTAGTTTGTAAATCACTTGAAACGAATTGAAATAAACAATTACAATAAACTAATGAATTAATATGGTTAGGCAGCAGAAAATAGTAAGGGCGTAAAGGATGACTGGCCAAGCAGCTGGTGATAGCTGGAAAATGGTAGAGTGCCAGACTGGAAAGTTTGTTTCTTGCAGGGGGCCAACTCATTTTGAAAATTTAATAATCCTTGAAATCATGCACATTTATAATTTAATTGTAGTGAAAGTCCATATTGGAATCTTTGAAAGATGGGTGGAGGATCTGTTTCATGTCCATGAAAGTTGCGCATTGCAAATAGCACAGATAAAGATTTTGTGCGGCTGAGACTAAATACCATAAAAATACAGTGTGTAACTTTTGGGTATACATTTCAGAGAAAAACATTAGTAACATCATTAGTGGCGATAAAAACAATATAGCAAAGATAAAAATTTACAAACCAGCCTCATGTGCACACAAGCAAAAAGTAATGATGATCTAGACGATCTGCAACTCTGAGGATCTTCAAATTCAAATTTCATTAAAAGCGTCAATTATTAAGTACATACATGATAGGTTTTACTGTTAAAGAAGAATCCTGTGCAGCTGGATGAATCATTTTAGCAGAAATTGCGCAGCTGCAATCACGGCTGATACTTGTTGTGCGCAGGGGATTTGTCCCCTACACAGGGCAAAAATTCCAATCTGGGTGAAAATAATGTAAATGTTATTAAATTGGGAATTTGCAGGACCAATATGCTATGGCATTCGGATGGAGAATTTGAGTGCAAGGGCAATTAATTGTGGGTGGGTACAAGTTTCCAGTCTGGGTAGATGAGGAGAATGAACCAAAAAGTAGGAATTCAAATAGTATAGAATCTTGCACTCCTTCTTTGCACCATTTCAGAACATGGATGCATTCTTGTTCTTGTGAGGAATAACTTATGAAGAAGAGGGCTATGTTTGCAATCTGATAACTAAAATCAAAATACTATATGCCATAAATGCTCAATTTTTTATTGTGGTTTATAATCAAGGTAAAAGAGCAAGGGGCTAAACCCTAGTCTGGGGAATTGTGCAGGTACACATTTGAAATAATTTGTTGTTTGATAGTTAGCACGTTATGGGACATTGAAAAGTTGCAGCATATGAATGTTTTTTTGTTATACTGAAAAATTTCAGTTTTAAGATCTTGTCAAAATTTAACCACCAGGATCTTGTCAAAATTTACTGCACTTTCAAGTCTGGACGAAAGGTGCCTTATTATTTATTATTATTTATTATTTACTTGTTATTTATTTGTTATTATTATTATTTATCTTGCTCCTTTCACAGTGCCACATCCCTTTTTACTTGGAGAAGCTTTCTTCAAGAATTTAGGGAAACCCATCGGTTTACCCTCATTTCAGTTTCCCACTTTAATTAAGTTTTTAAAACCTTTTAACGAAAGAAGCCATATACTTTATGTACTGCCTAAACATAATACATCGTTATGCTAAGACATTAGACATTAAAAAAGGGATTCATAGCCACCCAAGAGATGGAGGCTAGAGCCCATCCACTTTTTGCTGAAGTATGATATCAAGTTTGTGTCATCAAAGATAATGTTGGCATTCCTTTGAAATGAAATTTCATTTTTTGACCCATGTTAAAAGTCTACCATAAGAATTTGCCAACTCGTCTAGAGCATCCCATATGTTCAAAATGTGCTCTGGCCATATTGAGTCCTGAAAGACCTGTCCATGCTGGATCAATTCTGCATAAAATACATAGTTTATTAGTCTATCTTGCCAACCAGCAGATCTGGAAAGTACATAACCTGGGGTTGTTAATAACTTCCCTTAATCAGCATTCTTGACTGACCTTTCTTATCTAGTGCACTTGGCAATGAGGCAGTTTTTCTTAGACACATTAAACTAAATTTGGGTTGGGTGCACTTTATTTTGACCTTTATTTAGTGCCTAAGCACATGATTTTCTGGTCCCAGATTTCAACACTAGATATTACCAATCTTTTTCCAGCCTTGATCTTCAGGGATTGTAGAGCAAGTAGAAACAAAACCCCAACTTTTTAGAAAACTAAAATTTGAGTTCACTTTATAGTTAAAGGTGTAATTAAACGGTATAAATCCAAATAACGCAATTTAAAACATTTCATACCACTTGGGATTTTTTTAATGCACACATAGATTTGAAAACTGTGTATTAAGTTTTTTTATATTATTTCAGTTGTACTGTTTCTCAACAGGATATCTTGTAAAGTAGAAAAGATTTTTTACTTTTGTTTGATTCTTCCTAGGTCAAATATCTCATGACACAGACCGTGAAGCACTATGGAAGGCTTGATTATTTGGTTAATAATGGTGGAGGGCAGTTTATAAGTCCTGCAGCCAATATATCATTAAAAGGCTGGAATGCTGTAATCGAAACAAACCTTACAGGAACTTTCCTTTGTTGTAAAGAAGGTAAGAAACTTTTAAAACGTTTTAGATAATTATCTAAAAGTAATTATTTAGTTTAATCTAAAAATTTGATAATTTTTTCCTCAAATTTTGACAGAGCACCAGAAACAGTCATGTTTTTATTTTTTTTGCAGGTGAGCTGTGAACATTTGGTCTCTTTATTATAAGAGAAGCTATACTTTCTAAGAAAATAGTTGTTAATGTGTCTTATGGTTTATAAGGTGCATCCCTATTTCTCTATGTAAAACATGTATATTTCAGTTAAAAAATAAACTTAAGTTTGTTTTTTGACTGACTATTTCAACTGCCATTAGAGATCAATCATTTATCTTGAATTTTCTTTCATGACAGAGAAGGATATCTGGATTACCTTATTTTTTACAAAGATGGCAGTCGTGTTAAGTAGTAAGTTTGGATTTCAAATCTAATGAAAATTTTGCTCATGTCTTCAGCTTACCATTCTTGGATGGCTGAAAATGGAGGTGCGATTGTGAACATTACCATGGATTTCTGGAATGGGTTTCCAGGAATGGCGTATGTATTTCATTTGTATTGATTTTAGAGAGTTCATTTTTTTACTAACATATTGGTTGCTCTTACTTTATGTTTTGTGTTGCCGAAAAGTTTTTCAAAATGAACAAATGTTCCACTGCAGGCATTCAGGAGCATCAAGAGCTGGAATAGATAACCTTACTAAAAGTTTGGCTCTTGAATGGGCAGCTAATGGCATTCGAATAAACAGTGTTGCCCCTGTAAGTATAGTACCTATCAAATCAAGCATATTCTTTATCATAAATTTCCTTCGTCATTCTTTTAAATGCGTTTCCTTCAAAGCAAAAGGTATTTGTTGGGGTTGGGTGTTTTTTTATTAATAGATACGCATAAAATTATGTTTTGAAGCTAGAACTAATTTACATATAACCATTAAAATATATGCATAGCTATATAGCATCATTTCAAATTATGAAATTTATGATATGGTATTGATACATCAATTTATAGCTAATTCAGTTAATCAAGCTTGCAGCTCTTCAATAGGGAACAATTTACTCGGACAGTGCAGCAGCAAATTATCCGGATCCAGAGTTATTTAATAAAGCTCTGAGTGCTCTACCCCTTAAAAGACTTGGAACTACAGAAGAGGTTTGCTATCTATTTATCGCTTTCTCCACTGTTATAAACACTACAAGATATACCCTGAATTCTGTATATGCTATGAAGCTATGTTTATCCAAATGAGAACACGCTTTTAGTGTAGTGTGAAGAACAGGACATTTCTAAGTTGCTACTCCGAACTTCACGCTCGATGTAATCATCAGGTAACTGCTCTTTAAAGCAGAGCAAATGATGTTTCAGTTACAGGGAATTTTTTAAATTATGAGTACATTAACTTGATATCATTTTGGCTCATCTGACATTTCTTAAGATAATCAAAAAGAGCTTGCCTATTCGCTATCAAAGTCTTTTAAAGGATTGAAGAAATCTCTCTTATATTAAATTCGCATTTACAACATTTTGTTAAAGTGATATTTCAAAGTGTTGAAGTGATCTTCAAAGAGTTGTAGTAATCTCATTGCTTATAAATTTTTATTTAACCTTTTTTGACAGGTATCAGCCCTAGTTTGTTTTCTTTTATCTCCTGCTGCTGCTCATATTACTGGCGACTCAATCAAAGTGGATGGTGCGCAAAGCCTCTATGCCCAGACCTTGTTTCAGATTCAAGGTAAACTATGTTACGTAACACTATTTTTGGCAAAACCTCTTTCTTTGAAAGAACTTCAAGAATCATACCTGTTTAAGGGGAGGGGGGACGACAAGGCTACTACAGTTTTTGAAGCAGGGCTTGATTTGATGCCATATTTTCAATGTCAAGCTTTTCATGTGCAGGTTTTTCCCAGACTTCTCGACAAACGTATCGTTCCTAAGGGTTTTGGTAATGATGGAACATGGCCAAACTCCTTCCAGTGAAATCCTGAGTAATTTGATAATACACAGGCCATTTGTAGGCAGATATAAAGTACATAATATGGATGAATTTGTTTATCAATATTCATATATCTTCGAAAGTTAAGAAATTATTGGAGCAATAGACAATAAACTTAGATTCTAGATATTTTTTACTTGCGCACCCCCTTTGTCTACGCACCTTTTTCCAGTATCCTTTCAGATCGAGACTCTTGTTTGTAAGAGCCGTTTTGTCCATCCTCTTCTCATATTTCCCACTGTTTTAACATAAGGAAGTGTAGTTCTCATAGATTCTTCATCATGTCTATTTGCTTTAGATTTAATACGTTTGCAATTTTGCAGAACATAACAAGTCAGAAGCATTCCGGTGGAAGCCCGAAGATAAAGAAGGGACAAAATCAAAACTGTAGTCGAATCTGTATGTATAAAAATCGATTGATTCACATATTCGATGTTTTTCTAATGGTAAAAAGTGTAATCCAAATAATATTTTTAGATGCATCAAATTACAAAAATGTAGATGGAGTTTTTCTGTTAAAAAAAACAACAGTTACCTTTGAATTTCTCTCGTTGTTAAATCAGTGTTGGTATTTTCTACTGATAGTTCGGAAAAACTGAATATGCATGCAAAACTAGAAATGCGCAACAATATTGATTTACGCTTTTATCTATTTCAATAATACCAGGGGCTAACAATTAGGAAATCAGCTGGGGGAAGGGGCAAGCCTTTGTTTCTATAAAGATGAGGACAATAGCGTATCCATCGAAACAATGAAAGTTCACTGGGGTTGGAAGGGGTGTTGCCCCTAGTTTAGTATGACATAAAAGGCCCTTATCCATACCTGTTTTTTGCTGTATTTTTTTCACATTTTGCATACATTTTTTTGCTTGAAATATTTTGCTTCTAAATATTGTGCTTCTAAATATTGTTGTGTATTCTGAATTAAATTTTATTTAACACTGATGATGAGAACAATCTTTAACTTTAACCGACATATGTCAAGCATATTGATATAGGACTGCCCTTAATTCTTTTCAAATAAATTCATTTGCATACGGTTTCAAACAAGAAACTGAAGATGGTGATCATAAATATAATGTTATAGCCAAAAGAAACTGGTTTGAGAGAAAAGATGAATTCTTTGCTCCCCTTCTTAGCATAAACTGGTCCCAAAAGGTCCCTTGTTCTGTTATCGTCCTCCCTGTGGACTTGCCAATATGAAGACGAAGCGACCAAAAGCGTGCGTAGTGACATTTTCTGTAAGCGCGTTTCGTAGCAACTCAATCCACTGGGACCGTCATGGACTTGCCAATTTGAAGACGAAGCGACCAAAAGCGTGCGTAGTGACATTTTCTGTAAGCGCGTTTCGTAGCAACTCAATCCACTGGGACCGTCATGGACTTGCCAATTTGAAGACGAAGCGACCAAAAGCGTGCGTAGTGACATTTTCTGTAAGCGCGTTTCGTAGCAACTCAATCCACTGGAACCGTCATGGACTTGCCAATATAAAGACGGAGCGACCAAATGCGTGCGCCGTGACATTTTCTGTAAGCGCGTTTCGTAGCAACTCAATCCACTGGGACCGTCATGGACTTGCCAATATGAAGACGAAGCGACCAAAAGCGTGCGCCGTGACATTTTCTGTCAGCGCGTTTTCGTAGCAACTCAGTCAACTGGGACCGTCATCGCCTTCTAAGCTGTCGCTTTGCAATTCTAAACGCATACCGTTTCGCCAAGGTTTATTTGGAGCTCTGCACACGTTTGATTTTACAAATGTTTATTTGAGACCTGACTGACAGTCCACTAGCTGTTTCTACAAGTTAAGCAAGAACGCGAAACTCTCCCACCCATGCATCTCAATGTTTGTAAGTAGAATTCGCTCTTTTGGTATTAGTTTGTTCAGAATGATGCAAGTATCTCATTTGAATACAGGGCTGTATTAAAGTTGATTTTCGTAGGTGTAATTTCAGTTTCATTATGATAATTAGTATTAGAATGACATAAACAAGTAATGCTGGGTTTGGGGCCACTAAAAAGTTGTGTTTGTCAAATTGTTTAAATTCGTGTGCACAGCCAGAAACGCGTCCCGCATAGTTTGACAATAGCAAAGCTATCCATTGCTTTCATATACGATCAAACTGATGCTACACAGGGGAATCCAGAACAGTGCCTGAAAGTGAGGGCAGGTGAATTTACTGAAAATTCAACATAAAAACATCATCATACTTTAATGATAATAAAACTTTTAGTTACAAATTCATTCAGAACCAGAATGGTATTAAGCAGCATTACAAAAAAGTATCTTTAAAAAACTAAAGTTTGTGATTAAAAAGAATTGTTCGCATGTCTAGAAGCGCCTCTTCAATTCTCTCCCGCATTTCGAAACATTTCGTCTTCTCATCGTCGCATGTGCCCACACATATATGAATCCTGCAGAATACAAATGGTCATCAATAAATACAATTCTTTGAAAACTTAATGAAGCTGTGTTAGCTATTATCGTATTGCTCTAACAAAAATGAGTTGGATAATGAAATAACAAATGGTTATCTTCCAGGGTGCGTCTCTATTTAGAAACCAAAGAGTTCAGCAATACTGAAAAATCTATTTTGACAATGTTGATTTTTAATGGGCGATGTCCTGAAAGAAAATCACGAAATGCAACTGGAAGGGTAAAATTATTGAGTTCGTCGCAAATTGTCTAAGATTGATTAAAATTGTCTAAGATTGAAAGCGCCGAGTTTTGCTAAAGAACTTCTCATGTTTTGGCCTGGTTCAAATCAAAGTGATTTTATGGCAAAGAGCCTTAGCTCATTCTCCCATATCTAAGTCAATCTGTAAAAATATTAACTTATTTTGCACATTTAAAATATTTCATAATGCCCTTTCAGGTCGTCTTGTCCAAATTGAAAATTCTAAACATATTTTACGACGTCATCCCTTTGGTACACTATCAAGCAGATATTTCTTAATGCAACCCACTTGTGTACTGTAATAAAAATACTGTTTAAATTTGTTACGTAAAATTTATATTGCAGACCAAAATAAAATTATTGCTTAATTTACAAAAGAATTGGTCAAACAATTTTTAGGTTAAAAATTTGAATGACAAAGATGGCTGCTACTTTTTTTACATCAGCTAATATCATTATGAACAAACATGCAACAAACTGAAAATAAAACCATCGAAAGCTAAATTGGAATCTATGTGCTTATAACAGTCAACTAGAATATTATATTAGAGTTATTTTGGTACTAATAATATTGAATAATCCGATAAAAAACACGAAAGGACTTCTTATGCGTAAATTTAAGAAATATAATAAATTCACGTTTAAGATCTCCTAGAAGCCTTAGGGTTCTAACAAAAACAAGTCGTCATCACTAAAGTATTTATTACAACAACAAACAAAATTGTGTTTTTACATGTCATTTTCCATCGTGTAAAAAACTCCATATCCGTCTTGAGTCATCGGTCCCATACCCCCATGAACTCTTCTGTACCCAGATAAACTTGTCGACAGCACAAAGTTTCCATCACCGCCACTAAAAAGGTTCACATGATAAGAGTTTCTCTTGAAGTAATGCCACAAAGAATGTTAGGAATACCTAAAAGCTACATTGATACGATTTATGCTACAGACTAACTTCCTTGTTTTGCTTGATAAGAATTTTAGAAACTCTATTGATTAGATTTAATTAAAGAATTTGATCAAAACTTGGTTCCTTGAAAACAAGTGCGCATGCTCGTTTTGCAGTAAATGAACTGTCTTATGCAATCCTTGAAATTGCTTCATGTTAGTCTTAATTAGTGTATATTCACTATTGTAAAAACTAACGTTAAATAATCTACAATACAATACAATAAGATAGGCCTGCAGATTTCTGATACATATTGTTTGCAAAATTTGTGTTTCTGAACCAATTTCAGGCGCTGAAACCAAAAACTAAATTAATTTTTTTTTATCACGTCTTGTTTGTTCAGCACATGTGACTTCATTGTTGACAAATACCACTATTTTGGTATTGTGCAAAGTTGGTATCCTTTAAGGTCACATCTTTAATGGAACTTTACATTAAGGACTTTGAGACCTGCTTTATCTACCATTTCCACAACAGCAGTTATAAATTTAGCAATTTTTGGACCTATTTAGAGTAATTTCAATACTTTCTGGTTCTGCAGAATAGAATATTATAAATCTTTTCACTTGTTGTTGACTTATTTAGCTTCTTCATTGTATAGGCCACTAGAGTAGTCCTTAAAACCTGCTGATCTTGCCTAGTGCTAAGGGGTAATCAATAGTTTCTATGTAATTTGTAACGTAAATTCATTTGTAACATGTTAACATTCAAGAGCATCCAATAGTCGAAGAAAAATGACTTTTATTCGTTTTGGAAAATTTAACTGATCGTCGATAAAGCTTTATATCTGCACATCACAAATAATTCGAATGTGGAGATTTGGACTAAGACTATTTCATTTTGCATTTGTACTAGCACATCGAACTTGTAGACAATATCCACAAAAAAAAAACAATTCATTGCAAAAAATAAGTTGAAGTATTCTAAGTAAATCATGAGAAATATGACGTCAGACAAGGCCTGTGTTATTCTGTGCTTATTTAAAGTTGATATGGAATTTGGAATAAAACATCAAATCTATACATAATCTCTAAAGCAAGTTAGTAAAATTGGATAGGGGCAAGGTCATTTTAAAAATTTGTGCAGAAAAGTTTTTTGTTAGACCAAAAAGTAGGGGGAACGGCCATTTCCCCTTTGGAAAAATCTCAAAAGCAGTAGCAAACAGTACAAATGTATTACATAGGCTAATACCCCTGCCCCTGCCACTCCCCCTCCCCTGACACACCCCATCCTCCTCCCCTGACACACCCCATTCTCCTACCCTGACACACCCCATCCTCCTCCCCTGCCACACCCCATGCTTCTCCCCTGCCACACTCCTCCCCTCCCCTGCCACTCTCCATCTCCCTCCACTGCCAATTCCCCCCCCCTGTCTACACTTAAATAGGTCCATTGGATACAGAACGCACCTGTTCAATAAAGGGTAGCATCAACCTGATTCACCAGTCAAACCTTTTTTGATTTAAAAATAGATTCCGAAGATAGAAGTAACTTAAAATTATTAAAAGAGTGTCGCCATGGCATGCTTTGACATATGCTTGTATCTGTAAATTTTCCCTGCCTTGCAACCGAATCACAGGTTATTTTTGAGGGTTTATGAGAGTCTATTCAAATACAAGTTTCTCCCCAAAGCAAAGTTTGTGCAACATTACACTAACCTTCTTTTCCACGCTTTGTCGCGGTAAATCATTGGAACATCGAGACCTGAATAAAAAGACCACTTTCAAGTAAAAGATTGCAAACGATATGGATTACATTACTTATAAGAACCAGAGTTGAATCACCCAGCTTTAATTGAAATGAGTGAAAACTTGGTTAGAAGATGAGTACGATATTGGTTTCATATCAAAAACACCTTTCTGCGTTTTAGATTAACTTCATTAACCAATCATCATTTGCATTGTCATTTCAAAAAAAGCCTTGAAGAAACTATGAACCATCTTGTAACCCGAATATTTTTAAGAGTCTATAAATTTAAATACACATAATAACAAAAAGGTTTGCAGCATCGAGGGTGCTAATGCAAAGGAAAGGAGCTATGTTTTAGGATGAAAAGATCTTCGGCACCGTCGGACGTTGTTAACTAACCATTACTTTAATTTTGTTTTATCATAATTTAATAAAATGGCACAATGATATAAACAGCATATAATATTTTGCATTCTATTAATCAAAAATGTATTGCAAGCTGATATGAGATATTATAAACTTATTTAAATGAAAGATTTTGTCAACAAATGGGCTCTATATAAGCAATTGTAAGGATTTAAGAGGGTTAAAAAGCATGGCCTATCAGGTAGCTTAAGCAACTTCATTCTCAAGTGTGCCTATAACGTTTATATTTGAGCTTTCTCGAAGCTTTCTTTCGATATTCCTTTTAAATTCTTTTGACAATATTCATAACCATAAACCTGGACACCCCTAGAAGGATTTTAATGGGACAGAATCGTGTAAAAGGAATCGCTTGTTTCTCATTAACAAAATAGAAAGAAATTGTCGATGTACAACTTGAAGCTTCAATACTAAGAATATCTGGCGTCTTGAAACGGGCTTTGGGAGTTAAACTGTACCGTCTCGTCTGCACGACATTCAGAATTTCTAAGGACGGCATGACATGAAGGTAGACATTGAAAATAGATATTGAAAAAGTCAAGATAAACCATAAGCAAACAATTATGTTAAAATCAAACCTTCCTGCATAGCAAGAATCCTTAGGCCAAGAAGGTGACGATCTATGCCTGAAAGATAGCAATAAACTCAAAAGTTGATAATTAATGTTAAATAATAGGCAACAAAGCAATGAACATTGCCATATTTTGCCCAACAGCCCCCTATACCTGTAACTCGTAAGGTGTTACGGATTAATTTGAAGGTTATAGCTGCATGTAAAAAGTCCAACTTGACATTTGGAAAGATAATCTCTTTCAGGTCCAATTCATTTATATGGAAATCTGCTTTCATCAATTTTATCTCCTATGAATGTGTCTGGCTAACTGTACTTGTGCGTAAGTCAAGTATCCCTCATGTTCAAGTCATATTGCTGGTACCTTTGATTCGAGACATGAAGAATTATTTTTGTATTTCACGTGGTTAGACGTTATTAGTGCCCTGCTAAGTCTAGAGTTTGGAGGAACATGTTTGGATGTCAGTAAAATTTATCGCTTCAGAGTGAATTGTAATATGTTTAGCAAACAGTGCAAGTACCTTGACAAAAGAGAAGTGAAGAAGGAACACATGTCACATAAGCTGGGTGCACATTATTGGCATATTACAGTTGAGATTCCAGAAGGTCTGCTAGCCCTGTTGTTAATGGGAAAACGCATACTTTAAACGTTTAAAACATATATGTTTATGGTAACTGATTTTTACTATGTATCACGGCGATTTGTAAACATATGTCATTGGGCATTCTGGTTATACAACTTTCCCCTTGAATAAAATACATTGCAGAATTCGTGCAAGCGTGTACGATTGCTTGCTTTAAAAATCTTCCCAGCGGGACACATCAGCAATATAACTGCCTTAACCAAGCCTACCTGCTTGGTTAATGCAGTTATATTGACTTATGAAGACCATGGTTGTTAGAAAGAAGACTTTTCTTCTCACCTTGCCCGTTGCAGCACTCATTCATCATCTTCGAATGCTGCTCGCAAGCATTGCGGAGGAGCCGTACTTTAGAAGCCACCTAAAGATATATTTCTATGTGTTTCAGAAAGCCTTAAATCAGGAATGGACTATTTCAATGACAAACCGTACATAAAACAATTTTCTATGATTTAGCATTAGAGTGATTCAGCAATTCCTGACAAAATTCAGATATTTTTTAAAAGCTTTTATCTAATTGTAAATTGGCTCGTTTTTTCAAACGTATGATTATGTTTATTGAATGTTTGACAAAGTCTTTTTCTTCCACCTTTTCCTTAGATTAAGATGCATTTAATCTACAATTGGCGCGTTACAGAAAAAACACTACCGGATTTTATGTATCAGATCCTGCAACATAATCGCAACTACAAATAATCGTATGGGTATAACCTATTTTAAAAAAAATCACATACACTGTAAGAAGCATCATCCATTGCTTCAACAAATCGTTTGCTTTCCAATGTACAAACTCTCAAAGTTTCTGTACGGCCATCTTGAAATTGTCGAGTCGTTGCTGTCTCATAAGTTGGCACCACCCTAGAAGGCGCATTTTTTGGTGAATAGCTTTTTGCAGACGACGCTGGTTGCCAATATGAGACTTGAATTAATATTGAGATTATGAAATAAAGAAAGCATCAATTTTTCTTGTATCTGGGTATTTTAAAGTTCACTGAAGCTTCATGCTCGATCCAAACAACTTAAAATTCGTAACAGAGCAATCATAATTTTATGGGAAAAGAGACTAGTGTAGATGGAAAACCATCCTCGCTGCGAAACAGCAAATAGACATATCATAAATCTGAAACACTTTTGGAAATGTGTATCATTATATGTAGAATTAGAAACAATTTCATGAAGGAATTTCATTTTCCTTGCTGAAATAATTCCTCTGTCAACGCTTGGCTTTGGACAATCTATATAAGTAGAGTCCATACACATGTACCAGCCTCCTTTCCTTAATAATATACAATAAAATTTGCAATATATCTTATTCAATCAAAACATCAAATATTTGCTTATAATTCTTACTTCTTGTGAAGTCTGTAATATGCTAGCTGTATTGCCATTTGTATCAGTGAGTCGGGGTGTAGAGAAACATCTTTGGCAAAAGTTTTGCCAAAATTGATGATTGGCTTATCAATATGCCGAGCTTGCTTTCTCTATGCAACAAAAAAGGTAATACAATGTACGTTATTTACAATCAGAGGAGCAGACCAAAGTACACAGTGTACAATTACAGAGTCAGCAAACGCTTATTTGAAAGTAATCGCTAATTCACAGAGCTTATAGCTGGTTCCAACCTCTCCCAAATCAAACATGGCCATTTATCCTACAATCCATTCTACGATGTTTCTTCAATGATCAAATTAGTGCAAGATATAGAGACAATACTCTTTAGGGAAGTATTAATATTATCAGCCAAATCTGCAATGATACGAATTCACTTTAAAACAATTCAGGTGTAAGCTTACACTCCATTGTTGTTTGGACAACGATACTGACTAGCGGTCAACTAGAAAAGCAATGTTACTATCAGAAGGAAAGAGAAGCACTCACCAATTCATCGTGTTTTATTCGTGCTGTCTCGATTTCACTTGTCACATAATCGTCTACATAAAACTCAAGTTCCTCTGGCATAGAGAGGTCTCTAATGTTAGTCGGTCCCTTGGTGAAAATAACATTGCGTTGAAATGGTAAACAAAGAGGGAGTTACTGTATCAACGATCCAAATTATACGAGCATTGAAAGTTCTAATTAATTAAATGAAGAACGGGAACAGTGTATGCTTATAAGTTGCAGAGTATTCAAATGTGCAGCTATAATACACAAAGACGACGCGGTGTCTGTCGAAAGAAAAAACCCTTTGCCGTAAAGCAAGGGGTGGGGGAATGTTGCACCATTGCTGTATATGTTGTACATAACGATGCAAACCACTCCAAACTTTATAGACAGGAAATTGTTGTGACAAACTAAGCAAGTGCCAAATACCAAATCTGACTTCAGAATATGGTCGTATATCGGTAACTGATTGATTTTCCGAGATGGGACCAAGATGATATTTTCTGAAAGTCACGTGATCGATGACGTCATTAATTGGCTTGAAACGATCATATAACTAAACATAACTTTTAAAATACTGTGCTTATGACAGTAAAAAAAGTCAGCATTGCTTCAGCTTATTCAGGCCTTTCATTTGGTAAAATTTTTGTTCAATTTTGCTGATGTTAGCATTTTTGTTGATGACGTCATCATTTTTCATTTTCTGGTTTGATTTTCAAAAGGTGTAAAGACATAGGTTTATGTTTATGCCACGCTTTGAGCTGAAATCGGGGAAATTGGGGAATTTGAGCTGAAAAACTGTGTAATTTTTTGCTTAATTTGCTTGATTTAAGCTCATAAAAGTTTTTCTCCTTCAATTCCTCCCTTTCCCGGTACATACTTAGCGTTAAACAAAGGATCCACTTATATAAGTTTAAAAGTACAATAATGATAATAATGAGAAAAACAATGATTTCTTATTTGAAACGATACAAAAAATAAGTTTGTCAATACCAAGAAAATACGGTGTAAAACCATCCTCAGCCTGTTGCACTTGGCGCTGTCACAAATGGGCGGTTAGAATATATGTGCCCAAGCAGCATAGGATATCAGTACAGACACACGCGACACACAACTCTAGCAAAAAACTGGAACCCAGATCTCCTAACGGCATAAGATTGCGTAACAGCGCTCAATGCCATCCGGCTGATCATTACACAATTTTTTCAACTTTCTGATATACTGTGCTTGTCTTTTTTATGGTTTTCAACAACCATGTGACAGTTGTACTTTTAACATATTAAACAGTATCTAAGACTGAAATTTTCTTTGTTATTTGTAAGTGTCATGGGTCCTGAAAGAATTGTATCAAATGGTGTATTTACAAAAAAGATAACATTGTAACGGTATTATAATAATGCTAAACAAGCAAAATTAAAATATCAATAACCGGGAAATGTCACGATTGCTTTCATTAACTGATCGAAACTTGTAAGCCGAATTTGTGGATCCTCCAAATCGAAAAAAGCGAATGCATAATGATGACGTACGCCATCAAAAAAATTCTGACCTCAACAAAATTAAAACATTTTGATACCAAATGAAAGGCCTGTTAAAGCTGAAGAAATATTGACTATTTTTATTGTCATAAGCACAGTATTGCAAAAGTTATGGTCGTTTATATGATCGTTCCAAGGCAAATACTGACGTCATCTATCACGTGACTTCCAGAAAATATCTTTATGGGCCCATCTCGGAAAATCAATCAGTTACCAATATACAACCATATTCTGAAGTCAGATTTGGTATTAGGCACTTGCTTAGTTTGTCACAACAATTTCCCTGTCTATCACAAACCTCGCTGTGTAATCTTTAACCAAACGCAACGTTGTGTAACATGAAACCACTGTGAGGCATTACGTTCGGGATACTAAACGGCACTTTCAGATGCCATTAAAGTTTAATACCATTAGAATCGGGGACAAAAATTATCAGCCAAGTTGTGCACCAATTATCTGCTACAAAAAGAAACATTACAAAGCTATGAAAATAAAGAAAGAATTTGCAAGAACATGCAAGATAGAAAATATTAAAAACAAACGAGCTTACCTCCCACTTGCCAGTCACTGACTTGAAGGCATCATAAGTGTGCTCAAAAATTTCACTGGCCATAAAACCATCGATATGAGCATGCTGTGTAAATTTTGAACAAACCGTTAATAGATATTTTCTCAAATTCCCAAAGCCAATAAAATATTGCTCAATCATTTAATTTAGTTAGTTTTTTTAGTATAAAGAACATTTCCCTAAGCTTAAGATTTAGGTCCATTCAATATAAACTTCATTTTTATGTGGCTGGCCAGTGCATCTCAGCTTAATAGCAAAGCCTTGTATCAAAAAAGCGTTTTGAAAATTTATAAATACGAGTATGAAAAAACCTCCCTTCCTTTAAAACAGGTAGAAACTTACATCGTTGTTATTTCCGCAGTAACCGTTGCTGAAGAAAATGCTTTGGGTGCCTTTATCAAACCAGCGGTTACTTGCATCGCCAATTACACATTCTGTAGTGGCCTATAGTCAGATAATGTATGTATCAAGATTGCAGACTCGAAGCACCAAACATATATAACAAATATCAGATGTTGTATAGATTAACAATTGCAGAATGAAAGCAGCACCAGCAACAAATAAGCAAACCACATCGCGGCATAGTCAAAGCGTATCGATTTCAAAACATAAAAAGAAACCTAAAGTGACCAATTTTGGGAGGTTTTTTAGCTTTTGAAAATTATACCTGAACAATTCACTGTTGAATGTCTTACAGGAGATCGGCACAGCACGAAACGGGGGAGTTGTGCAGTCCAATAATGACTTTGTAATTTGACCAGTAAAAATGACTACCAAATTTCTGACAGGAAACATGCCCAGAGAAAAGAAAATCTTTAAACATTCCATAGACAGTGTTGAGCGCCAGCTATTAGACCCCAGTACCCCTTTATAAATAACATATATAATCATTAGTGCCTAAAATTCTTTAGCCTAGTTAATTCGAATGTGTATTTAGCAGACATCCTTAGATAACTTACTTTCCCCTTACCCTTCGCGAATATTCACTTGGGTGATTACATTCAATCTTCACTAGACCATTCAATTTTCTATTCGACGTATTTTGAAGAATTTTAATAACATAAACAAGCAAACTAGCAACTGGGTCATTCAGAAATTCAATATATCAAGAAACAGTTTCGTTAGAGGATTTCCTCTATTAGTTAAAACAAACCCTTTATGTTTCTGAGCAAATAACCTCGATGTAATTTTATAATAACAATGTTAGGCCCAAACCATAAACATTTTAAAGTGCTCTGTGTCTCTCTATAATCAACCGTTTTGTACAAGTGAAGAGAAAGACCAGTTCTGCTTTCACCACAAAATCACTTCATTTTATTATTGCTTTAGCTTGGTTTCTTATTTATTTCATTTGTCTAAAAAGAATTTGTAATCATACAGTTTAATTTTCTCCGCCAATGAATCGAGTTGAAATGTTAAAGATGAAACTGAACAGATATATTTTGCTCTACCTTGAGCCAAAGTGTTTGTCTTTCGCTGACCCTTATTTTGATTAAAAAACTAAACATGTCTATCGTCTACAATTCATTCTTGAAGTTCATCAATCTATACAAAAGTATTTGACATGTGTAACATTTTTTCCACAAAAAACCAAAGGAGCTGGTAACACCCTAGAAAGTCATAAACATTAATGAGTAACAGTTAAGTTGCTGCATTCATTTAGTTGAAGTTAAGGGGCATGGAATCCTTCCTAGCTAGATCATTTAAACGATTAAAAGAATGTATCCATAAGAAAACAGTTTAGTTTTGAAGGACGTATGAGCGCTAGGCAATCATAAGTCTCTTATTGACATGGATTTCACAGCAGGGATGTAGAAAACAGAGGGATCATAAACACGGAGATCCTTTGGTATGTGCCCTCTCACTATAAGACAAAATCCGAAATGTACACTTTGCACTGAATAATCTGATATATTCGACGCATTAAACAATAAAATCATAATCAATAATCAAATTTATATTGAAAAGTACATTACTATTGAAGTTGACCTTCCATTTTTCAGTTGTTTTCTACCCCTTTAAGAAAAGGCTGCGCCGGATGGAACGTTTTGGAAATTTTGAAAACATTTGGAAAATGAAATTAAAAAAACATCCAATAAAAATTTTCATAGGTATTATATCCTTTTTCTGGTGCTTTTTACAAACATTCGTGTTCGATTTTATTAACCTGCGTACATGAATGTGCTAACAACGAGATGCACCAACCTCTGTTTGAGACCGAGGCGCATGCTCGTCCAAGACACAAACTAACAAGGATGTATTGATAATGTTGACGAACTCAGCATTCCTTCTATCCAAAGCGAACATATAATCCTGCACCTTTGTGTAAGGAACGAGAAGACATCTTTGATTATAAAACAATTAGGATAAATGGAAACCATGTATTGAAGAAAACTTTCTCAGTGCAAAGGCAACACAGTTAAACGTGCCCTGTAGAAAAAGATTTTTAATCAGCATCATAGCAGATCCTTCGCTTAATCTAGTTTGTAAATAACAAGAATGATAAAAAGTTAGCAACCCAAATTAGGACTATCATTATACTACCACTAATCTACTCACCTTCTTCCAGGTCGTTCTGTCAGTAGATGTAAGACAGCCTACTCCTGGACCCGCAGGAGTTGCATCTGCTACATCACAAATTCGCTTCAATTGCCTGAAACAGGAATTTTGTGGTCTCAAGTCATTTTAAAGGAAAGGCTAAGCTAATACATGGGAAGTCATTCTGGTGTTGAATTTGGAGGTAATTCAACTAAAGAAGAAAGACTACATAACTATGGCTTTCTGTTCTTGGAAATAAGCATTCAAATGGGCAAAATAGAAATTAAAATGGAATGACAGCGAACGTTTCAAATAAGGAACCTTAAGATTGTTATTCTCGAGCTGTTTTAACGATAGTCCAACAACATACTTAAAACTAAAGCATTTTTAAAAATTTTTGTCGATCTACATAAGACAAAGGAAATTCAAACCAATTCATCCATATTTTCAAAAATATTATCAAAATTAATCCACAATGAATGTTTTAATAAAGATATAGCATAATATATATTTTTAATGTACGTCCAGGCCTGTTATTCCAATCTTTAAAGCAGGAATGAGGGATAATTACAATTCAATTTCTGGTACGTTCAAGACTTTCCCATCTGCTGTTAATGCGTCAAACACGAAAAACTTCTTTCTTCTGATGACAACGACATGTGTCTTGGTGCAGGACGGTTTCCCATCTGAAAATTATCGACATATCAAAACAAGCTGACACAATGTACAAAAATGATTGACAGTACAACACTTTTTTAACTAGTAGCTATGAAATTTATACATAAAACCGATAGTATGGTTTAAGAGATTGTACTTCGTCAGTCATTCCACAAAATTGGCAAACTTTTAAAACATGCTGTGGACATTCTACAATTTAAATGCCTATTCAGTCAAGAGATAAAATTGGCTACACATAACTGCGAAGACAAACTTTATTTGGTTGTAACTTTTAAGTTATTGGTTTGCATTCCATTTGATAGCATTGAATAATGTTTATAGAGCATATGCAAACAAAGTTTGACAAGCAACCACAGTGAACAGAAGATTCAAGTTTTTTTTACTTGTGCGCCAGCTTTTGAGCAATGTGTTCATTTGAGAATAAAGGTTCGAGCTTTTATAGAGGGGAAGTTAGTACAAAAGCAACTCGTGTTTTTGTTGCAACAAAAACAAAAAGTAGACCTTTATCTGAAAAATTTATCAAAGTCGAATCGCTAAATGTAGATTTTTGCAAATAAGTTACATAATTAGTTATCATCGGAAACTTGGAGAAATAAAAAAACAATCACCAGAACAGGATAATCGTGTTACTTTACACTAAGAATTGGATAATATATAGCCAATGAAAGTTATATTGCAAAAGAAATAACAGTTATTTTGGCTTGGTTCATGAGGTAATAAATAGAGATCAAATTATAGGGATTTGAAGGAGAAGGAGCCCATGCTTATGTAGCTATATCTAGCACATATAACTAGTCGATTTCTAGCGTAATGAGCTGATTTGCATACAAGAGGTATTCCATAATGCTCAAGTTAGGTCATCTACCTTCAAAAATTCTAAATAGAGATTATTATGGCATCATCACTTACTCCATACCTCGAAATTGTCCATAATAAAAGTGCCTCTTTTCTGATAAGAGGGCACCTGCAATGGCAAGCATGAGAAAATTCAAAAACATGAAATCAAAATCAAGCTTACACACCTTTCAAGCTAAAATTAAGCAACTTGTCTCGGTGCTCTCCAGGCATTCTTGCTGTTGCAAAAAAGCCAAAAAACAATTTCATGTCCATAGGAATACTTTTTTGCATCTTCGATATTGGCCACAATTCACTTTATCGGAAGAAAAAAAATCGTTTTAATCTTCTGTTTATATAATATGTTAAATACCTCTAGAAAAAACATTTACATGAGAAATGCTAAAATCTCAAAAATTAGTGCTGATAAGCTGCTTTAACTTGATAATGTAAATCTCAACAACAAAAATTAAGTTACTGTCATGGCTGCTCTTACAGATAAGTATACAGCGAAAAGCATAGGGTATGGTGTGCACTGCAAGTGACACACAAACTGCTCTGGGCAGGCACCAATAAATATTGGATGCTTCAAGATCAAGGTAGTTTCTACACAGTTTTGCACAGTTTTGTCACAGGCATATAGGAACGGTATTATGTGGCAAGAATTGCAATGGTTCCTATCATATCCTGTGACTTTCCATCGTTGGTGTTCGCTTCGACGAATCCGAATGAGTTGGGTTGTGTGTGTGAAGCTGAGTTGATGTTGACGAATCCTTGTTGATGAAAAACTTGAGATGAGGCGTTTGTTTGATGCCATCGAAGTGTTGATGCTGTAGGCGAAGTAGGAATAACCAACGATGGAGTTGCGTGTCACGTCGTGGTCACCATTAAAGGAACGTTATTATATGGCAAGAATTGCCTTGGTTCCTATCTTGTCTGCTGTAACTTTCCACCGTTGATGCTACTTCGAATCTTATTTCGAATCTTACAGAGAACACGGAGTCAGTCAAGTTCAGTTCACATCAGATTTACACAGGCAACACACTGTCTCTCTCACTGGCTCCGTGTTCTCTGCACGTTAAATAAGATTTGAAGTAGCATCAACGGTGGAAAATTACAGCAGACAAGATAGGAACCAAGGCAATTCTTGCCATATAATAACGTCCCTATAGGCACAACATAGCAAAGGTATTGATTGATAAGGAATAAGGATGCCATACAGCCATTATACCTTTGTATTTTTAGGTGCTGAATCAAGGAAAAATGTAGGCTCATGGAAGCCCTGAAAGTCTGGGATCCAGTTTCTGGCTGTTTCCAAAAGGCACTGTAATCTGTTGTTCCACCAAAGTTTGAGTAGAAAGGTAAGGGCCCTCTGTATGAAACGTATGTGTCCTCCCACCAATCAGAAAGCTGTCGAAATAATCATGGGATATTTCAGTGCTTAACTCAAATTCCCTCTCTATGAAAAAATCTGTCCTTAACATGAGAGTTCATTATAAATGTTTTTTCAAAACTTCAATCTTATTCCTAGTATTGGCAGAAGTGGTTTGGACTGTTGTTCACTTCTGTACAATTTAGCTTTTGATTATACTTAAATTCACTGAGAATACCTTAAGATGCCTTTTGGTGAAGTAAAAAGACTAAAAAGAGCACTTGCAAAAGTTCAAATCTAATCTCCTGCTTTCAGGAATTTTTTTATAAATCTGTTATAAAATTCAATTTTTAAAAACATGTGCAAATAAAGAAAATATACACGAGTGTACATGAAGTTTGTCACTATATGTATAGCTGGTGAAATGTATCTTGTATGAGGGATGAACAAGCGAAATATCAGCAGACTTTTTTCTGTGAACAAAGATAAATTTTGTTTAGCCAATCAGATGATTTTTACATTTTTGCAACTCAGCCAATCAGAGGCAGCTATTCCTAAGATATTTGTTTCATTGGGATGCGACCTGCTTTAATGGCAGGGATTTTGATAGAGAAAACAGAGCCCTCCATTATGCCACAGAAGAAAAAAGCAACCATTTTATTATAGACGAAGATATGCTTGACTACTTACTACAACATAAATTTTTCTGACGAATTTCCTCCCAAAAACGTAAATCTGTATGTATGAGTTCCAACAAAGAACATTCAATTCAACTTGAGTGTAAGAACTGGTGCATTCAAATGTTTTTGTCTTTTCAAACTTCTTTATTGTTGATGTTTTCACATTTTTATAGAAAGTTGCTACATATTAAAAAATACTTTCCATGATATACTGTATTCAAAATAGCAAGGTAAAATATAGAAATTAATCTTGAATTTTGATGTAAAGAAATAAAGTTTTACTTTGCTTTTTGAGTTTATCACCTTCCCAGGGTCTAATGGAAATTAGTTTTTTTGAAAAATAATAGCTTTTCGTGAATTTTTTTACAAAATTAGTCTGTAACAAATATTTGCTGATGGACCAAATTTGAATACTTCACAGGAATCTATAAAACATCTCACAATTTTCAATATTTTTAGGTTGGAGCATTTACATTTGGTAGTAGAAAATATCACCTTTAGACAGTGTTTAAACAAGTGGTCAGGCAAAATAGATTAGTAAAAATGATGAAGGAGGTAAAAAAGGGAAAATGGAATGCCCTCCATCAAATATTGCGTCACCATACCATTTAAGATGAAAAATTCTCTGTCCATCAATAAACCCATAACATGCAAAGACCATGATTCTTCTGATGCCTATATGTTTTAAAGTTTATTTTACATCTTTATGTGTCATGTGCGATTTACATATAAGCATAATATTGGCAATGTCAATAATCCCACACTATCAGAGCTTTGGAAACCTTTGTCGTCTCTGTTATGAATCTTTGGCACAAACATGTGTGCAAGCTTTTGGCTAAGAGTTCACATACCCAATTTTTTTGCTTATTAGCTCTGTCCTTTAGCTCTTCATGGAGTCGCTTGCCAACACCAATTCTGAAGGTGTCAACAACAAACTCTGTTGTTCTATACTCCTCATCATTTAGAAATGGCTTCACTAAAAGAAAGACACATTAATTATATTCTTTAGTGGCAAAATAAGCTTGTCATTTGATATGAATTCTCTAATATAAGCATTACAAAGGGAACAGGTCAAAATTTTTAACAAACAAGATGATATGGTACAAACATGTATACTTGAGGAAACCAAAAGGGAAGAAACAAAATTCTCACTTTTTATTCATAGTTGTTCTCAGTCATGGTTATAAATAAAGTAAAACTAAAATGATCTACAGAAAATTAGAAAAAATTTAAAAAATCTGACCTGATAACAAGTACTTGTAACAAGTTTGTTCCAGTGTAGGCAATGGAAGTGGAGGAAGCTTGCCGTCATAAAAAAGAGTTCTCTCTTTTTTCTGACTCTTTGAAGACATTTTTTGAGAAAATACTAGCACAGAAGTCTTCAATAAATAGGAAAATCATTTCAGTCACACAAAAATGGCAAGAATAAATGCAAAATGAAACAGGAACAATTTCTATTTTATCAATTAATAATACATGATTTTACTACTATTTTTAAATTTCTCGGGAGTGCAGCTGCCATTCTTACCAAGATCGCAGAATGTGAATGTTTAAAGTTTAAATATTCAAAATATAAAGATTCAATTGCATTAGCCTTGGGTAGCATAAGTATGTCGATTTATTTATACCAAGTTACACCACAACAAAGACCACGCTGGCGGGGGAGTGGCAGGACAAGTTACCATAACACTCCCGTAGACGTTATTGAATTAGGAGCCTTTTTAGAAATCGTCATTAGAATTAGATATCAGTAATAAAACTTAGAGAAAAAAGGCATGCTTACTTTAAAAAAAGCTGAATAGTGAACACCTTTCGGGGCCAAAAAGGATCTGATTTCTATCATAGCTAACTGGACTTTGAACAGAACTGTTTTGATTGCAGGATGAAATGGAGGCTGAGCCGAGCAAGGATTGATTTGATTTGAGTGATTTGTCTGATTGACTGATTACTTGATTGATTGATCGATTTACAAGGCATTTCCAGGCATTGATCGATTAATCTGACCTATCGTTGATAAGCCAGCAAAACAAGAGAAAAAAGATTCCCCGACAAATCGACCAAGATCGAGGGAAATCTTCAAAAAATCTCATACCCTTTTTCAAAGTAGTGGCAGAGCCCTCGTTAGAAAGTGACCCATATAACTTTTTTGTCCATGAAAGTGTTGTGTTACCCTCAATTTGGTTCTTTTCTTCATTTTTTTTCTGTTTTAGGGTCTAAGTTCGACCCGATAACCACTAATTACCCAGAGTACACCCAGAGATGGTGCCAGAAATCTTCTAACAGAGGGGTTTGTGCTTCCGACAGGGGGGCTAAATGATTAAAATATGCAGTTTTTGTACGTCAATTTGTCAAATTTGCTCAGAAAATAACCCAAAATTTCCTCCAATGGAGAGGGCTAGGTGCTTCCGACGGAGAGGCTGTAGCCCCCCCCCCCCCCAACCCTCCCCTGGTGCCACCACTGGTTACACCTTTTAAATACAAAACTAGGGTCTATTTTCAACTTTTTGACTTACATTGCAAAACTTTCCAAAAGGCAGACACTGTAACGACGGTGTACGTTAATTTGAGAGAATACTGTAACAATTTTTGCAGCAAAATCAAACATGAAGTGGTGCAGCCTCGTATTGAAAGGCAAATCGCTGCAGTCTCGTATTGGCATGTAGGGAAAGCATGGCGGACAAGATGGTGGCACAAAATATATTTGCTACACAAAGTGGATTGCCTCCTAAAAAGCAAAACCAGGTATGCAGATAACCTAATTAATCGATAATGAATTTTCAAAATTTATCATACTTAAAGTTTGCTAGATTTTAATACCTCGTTTTTGTATGAAATTTCAGCAAAAAAACGCCAAGCAATTTTCTGGAATAAAAGCATTAACGGGGAGTAACTAGCAGTTAACTAGATTCAGTCAGGCAGAGAAAACCTTTTAGAAAATGTCCAAGCCAACATCATAAAGGGCGAAATTATGAGGAGGGGTCCAAGTTATTTCAAGCCCTCACAATAAGATCAAGCCACACAAAGAGGGTTGGATAATCGATTTATAAAAAATAAAGTAAAATGTATCCTGAAAATATGAGCAGTTGGTAAAACTGTAAATATTGTATGCCAGACAAAGAAATCTGAATAATAGAGAAAACTGTGGTGGATGAATGTTTCTTTATACTTTTTCATGTTAACTATGTACTTAGCTTCTTGTTTTCATACCCCACAAAATTTTTTATTGGTGCATGCTGAACGCCAAAAAAACCTGTGTATATTCCAAAGATCTTCAGGCCTAATTACATGGAATGCTGCCTCCTTTTGATCCCTTCTCAGCCTAATTCTTTGATAAAACTCTTTCTCAGGACATGGGCTTAAAATAAAGGACTAACTTGGGATGTGGACTCAGCAGCTTTTTAAATCGTTTTGTAATTATTAAGAAACGGAAAAAATGCAAGCACGTCAAAGTTCTCTTATTGCTGAGCCCTGTAGGCTCCGTCTGCCTCTACCAAGAACTATTTGCATATTTATACATAAAATTTACTCTCAAAGGCCAAGGTATAAACGATTCTACTATAAGAAGCTTTTAACAACAAAGGAGTTAATATCTCACGACTCCACTGACAATTGAGTCTACAGGGGCATTTATAAAACAAAACGAAAGGTGCAAAACAACTTGAAAGCAAAAGCAAAATCGCAAACAAGTCTACACGGCGAAAACAAGTCTAATGGTAAACAACTACTTAAACGTAAACAAGTATTTTTGTAAACAAGTTTAAAAACATCTCAAAAAATGAAAGTTTGTACTTAACACCCCCACCCCCAATATAAACCCTGCAATGACAACAACACAATGTACTAACTTTCATTTTTATACGCATTTTCAAATTCCAAGAAGCCCCCTCGTTTCAGCCCCTTTCCCAAATTTTGTATGCCAGAAGCAAGATGAATTCAAATGCAAATATTTAGCCATAGATAATCACATTTTTTTAAATGGTCTGTTTCAAATTTAATGTGCTTTCGTGTCTTGAAGTCTTGAAGATGTTCCTGCTTTGTTGATTGACTCAGATCAAGATGACATTATGCTTCTAGACTAATTTCTTTCTTTCTAGACTAATTTCTCTCAATTGTCAATATATTAATGTTTACAAAATAGAAATATAGATAAACTCCAAGGAAAACATCATTAATATGATTTGTAAGAAATTGTTTCAAAATCTATTTAAAAACAGCCCACTTTGGTTCAATTGTGTTATTATCATTATTTTAAAGCTTAAGTTTTTCAAACTTGAAAGCACACAGGCTGTTGAACCATAGGTTGCAAAGCTTCTTGTCAAATGCAGAAATTCATATTTTAAATGGATCACCTGAATGTAATACAAAATTGGGCTACATATATTTTCCATATTCCTCAATTAAATCTTCCAAAGTTGTATTCTATGGAAAAAATAAGTACAAAGATTTCTGCATTCCATTTTTGTTTCCATTATTTGGTAAGTTTGGAGTGTCTATACTTATTGTGTTTCTCTAATGATCAGTCAGTATTTCCCAAAATTGTTAATTAATTTATTTTGGATGGAGTATACTTGAATTAATTTGTTTGTTCTGATTTTAGGCATTGCAAAATTTTGCTGCTCCTCATATACAGTCATTTAACTACATGCTAGAAGATGGCCTATCAATGGCTGTTAAGGTATTACTGAGCTATCTGGCAAGACTTCTTCCATGAAATAATTTTTTCAGTCTTTGAATTTTTTGCAGACAGTAGCTAGGGACCTGGAATTTAAGCTATGTCATACAATATCACTACTCAAAGGAACATTCATAAATAATTTGTTTGGCTTTAATTTGGATGCTGCTTTCTGCTCATTACTTAATATTGTTAAGCTATTGATTTTTAATGTCTCCTCACCTGTAAAATCAAGCATTTTAGTTATGTTGTAGCATTGATTCTGCTTATGTCTATCACATCAAAATGATAAAAACTAGTCATATTGAATGCATCTGTATATATAAAGAAATATGCTATTTGGCTGTAGCTTTTGATGCCTCAAACTTGAGTTTGATTCAGATAAAGTAATTACAATGGGGCATCACCCTTGTGGAAATAATTTCCTCAGTCAGCCTTGGCCTACTGAATAGATATAAAAATACATTTTTATAATTTTACTTCTACTTACTTCAGTTATAATACAACTTGATTCCAATTCTAGGGTTTTTTTATAAGAAGCCAAATTGTTGATCCACTAGTTTGTAGGGCCTTCTCTTATCACAGGTCATATTATCAACATTTTGCATTACATTTTCTGAGTTATGAAATTAGGAAATGTGGTTAGTGTCCCAAAACTACCATACTTTTTTCCATGCTTACACTCAGACTTGTGATTTTCATAGAGATTTGCTTTAGGACCTGCTCATTTAATTTTTTATGGTTTATATTTTTACTTAGGATATTATGCCACAAGAATTCCTGCTTCCTGATGGCAAAAGAATGTCATTGCATCTTGTTGTGAGTGAAGAGATTTTAACATATTTAAGCATTATTTATGAAGAACTTTCCCTTGTTTCCCCTTTTTGTTTTGTTAATTTTGCATACTTTGAATATGTCATCTTACAAAAATGTAGCAGTTTATAGGAATCTGCAACACCCTTCAATGTGAATCCTAGTTTATAGTTTAATTGTATGTTTGTGCTACAGTTTAGTCTGTTTTTTTTTCTGGACAGGATGCATCAATAGGAATTCCTACAGTGCCTGAAGGTTGTTATGCAAGAACAATGAAAATTTATCCCTCTGAGGTTTGTATTTGACTAGCTGAGCCTCATTTCTCATGCTTAGGTGTCAGTGTTTAAGAAATTTGCAACATTTTCACATATATATATACTGTCCTCTAGGCCTGAAGGCCTTTTGAGGAGCAAAAAGCAGGCACTTGACAAACTGAGCACCTTCAACTTTCTAGGTGCTCAATTGAGCATCATCAAATTTCATCAAAAAAATATTCGCTTTTTCAGTCCTTTTCGTTTAGCGCGTGCGATCGCACCCGCACACGCCTGCACACGCGCAAGTTAAATTGCGCGTGCTTTTGACCACACGCGCAAACAGGTGTTTTTGCAGTTTTCTGTTAAAGGGCCTCTCCAGCCAAATTTTGCACTTGCATTTTATTGGCAATTTTTATAAAGAAGTTGAGCCTGCTGATCACGAATTCGTTATTTGTTTTTCGATATTTTTTTACAGTTTGTGAGATATAAGCTCTTGCATTTCGATAATTTAATTGAATTAACCGACAAAAATTTTTGGTTTGGTGACACTGTGACGCAATTTTGACGTCACAGTGTATTTCGGATAGTCTCGCCTCAAACCGAATCGAACGACGGCGATTCGCAAATTGAGCACTGCAAGTGATGGTACTTTCAGTTCTGTTCCGCCAGCTTTTAGTTTGAGCATTTCAGACACCAATTCTGAAGCCTTTAGTTGTTCATCGTTTCTGGAGAACAACTGAAGTGACAATTTCGATTAATTATACGCGAGGGAAGAGCTGGAACAGGAACTGGAACTGGATGCAGTTATCAACGCGTGACCATGAGTCCTTCACGCTTCGGTGGAAGATATACGAAATTCATGGCGAACGAGAGCCGCACATTGTGACGTCAGAATGTCACCAAACTGATTCGGCTTTTGTCGTTTTTTTTCTCGGAAAGGTGCAACTTTAAAGCCTTACAACTTCTAAACTAACTGGAATTTTTCAAAAACAATGACTTTGTCATAATACACGCACCAGATGCTAACTTTTAAGTCATTAAAAAAAAATTTTTTGCTGGAGAGGCCCTTTAACATCAATTTCCCATGGTCTCATAATTGTTTATCCTTTCCTATGTTACTTGATTCGCACTTTTGACCACAATATGATTTTTCCAATTTTCGGAAGTGATGTTTGGCTTTTGACTGAGTGCTCCATTCAACTTAGCGTCTCGTCTTTCAGCTAAGTCGCCATTAGCATGTTAAGTGTAATAACTGATTTCCTGTCAAAACGTAATTAGGCCATGAAAGCAAGTAGCTGTTGGAAACAATTTTTACTTGCTCTTGTAACTTTGGAGAGTGACGACTTTTAAAAGATGGCTGCTAAGAGCAACAACATCTGTTATGTATTGATTAATTAAGTTTTGCTCTTGCACGTATTCGAGTGGCTTTTTCCTTCTTGCTCCTTTTACCAAATTTTATCAGGTTTGTACTTCAAATTTTCTTACAAGTGCGATCGCACGCGCAAATTTGTTTACATGTGCGATTTGCCACACACGCGTAATTTTGCTCACGAAAAGGACTGCTTTTTGCATTTAGTTTCTAGACAGCATAAGCACATTAGGTGCTCGATCAATCAACTCATAGAACTTTCTGGGAGGATGTTGAGGCACTTGATCGAGCTTGAGGGCCTCTCCTTGCAAGGCTTGTATACTGTTTGTCTTACTGAGAATGGCTAGCAATTTTGTTCAATAAAATTTGCTGTAAACGTGAAATAAATGTTTGAAATACCTCTTGTGTGTTTCCTAAAATACCTATAGTGTCCTTGAAAATGTTAGTATGTAAAATGGAAATATCTATCTTCAAATTCAGTTTACGTTGAAACTATTGTTTGCAGTGTAGGGAAAGAGCAGTTTCCTATGGTGCCAAGTTACAAGTAAGCTGCAACTATACAATAAATGGTGGTGAATCTTCTGGGTTTGTTATGCAAACAATAGCAGATGTGCCAATTATGGTCAAAGTTAGTCTTCACTTGTTCAACACTTTGATTCTAATTGAAATAACTAAACTTTTTGGCTCTTGAACACAGCTTTCAACAGAAATATTTGTGCTTCATTATATCACATTTTTAATTTTCTGATACAAGTTGAGGCTTAATCTTTTAACAATCATAAATAACTTGTAAATTTAGATTTGTTGATATTGGATGAGTGTTTTAGGCAGACTCAATATCTGAATAAAAGACTAAATAGCACTAGATATAAAAACTATGTTATCGCATATGCACTAAGGTGCCTGTTTGCAATCAAGAACATTTTGTATGCTCATATATCTTTTATTTCAAGTAATTATAATTTATTTTTATGCAGTCCAAAAACTGTTCATTGCACAATCTTTCTCCTGCTGAATTAGTTCAAAAGCATGAAGAGGCAGAGGTAATGCATAACAATTTTTTCTTTTTGTATTCCTTGACTTGATTTTGCAGGTGGATCACTAACGATTCAATATGGCCTTCATTACACACTTCTGTCGTTAGATATGCTAAAGAATGTGCAGAAATTAAACAACATGCTTATTAATACTTTGTTTTTTTTAAATTTTATTTTACGCTGTTCCTTATTTTCATTTCAAACATTGGAAACTTTTCTTTCAATAGAGTGCAGTTTTAAGTGAATTTAGTACGTACACATTTGGTTTGGAAGTTATACCATCTTTAAAGGCGTGCCTTAGATTTCCAAAGTGAACATTCACTCTAATTTGTAAATTATTGTTTTATCAGGAATGGGGAGGTTATTTCATCATTAATGGAATTGAAAAGATCCTGCGTATGCTGATTTTGCAGAGAAGAAATTATGTAGGCCAATTAGCATTTTCTAATTTTATTTACACCAGCCTTGTAGCAGTTAACTAAGCCATTAAAATTTTTTAGCTCATTACTTCTTTTATAATGAAATTATTTTCTTACATTTTTTCCTACGGAATGACTGGTTAAAGAATTTGTTGAGATTGAGAGGTTGCAATAAATCATTCCAAAATATTTAAAAGATTGATTAACAACTGTAATTTTCTCCGCTCAGTTTAAAGCCAGCCATGGTCATTTGTTGTGCAAACTAAAAACGAGTTTATTGTTTCGTCTCTTTATTGTTTTTATTCCTCTCTCAAAGCCATTAGCGATGATAAGACCGTCATGGAAAGGAAGGGGGCAACTTTTCACGGAATTTGGTGTATCAGTCCGAACAGTTAAGGAAGATCAAAGTGGCACGGTTTGTTACTAGCCATTTTACGCTTTTGGTTCGTCTCTAAAGCGGAGTAAAGCTTCCAAAACTCCAACATTTTTCAGTTTCTCAGCATCATATTGTGTCCCCCCCCCCCCAATTTTTTTCCAATAGAGCTGCTCGAGAGTATAATAAATTGTTATTTTGATGCATTTTTGAATGATTAAATGCTCAGGGTAGAGGGGCATAAAGTTGATGGATGGGAATTCCAATTATTTATATGTGCATTTCTTAATAAAGTTTTTAGGCAACATTTTAACATGCAACATTTCCAAGCATTACTTTTTCCATGTTTTTTCATCAATTTACGTATTACACCGTTTAGAAGTATGAATCGTGACTAGAAAAAAATTTGCCTTGGGTGCCCTTGTTGTGTTTAATTGAAAACTGAGAAGGAAAACTAGAAAGTTACCAGCTCTTTTTGCGTTATAAATATCACCGTTGGCAGGAGATTTTACTTCTTTTAACAACAAAAAGTAATCGTACTCAGCAAGATAGATCGTTTCCTTGCATACAAATAAACTTTATGCAAGTGACATGTTCTTTTATTTAAAGACTCATTGCTAACAATGGGCCTTTGCGAGCGTGGCGACGATCCAAACAATGGCAGTAAACTGTCTTCAATGGCAGTAAATTGATTTCAGACTGTCTAAAAATGCATTATGGGATGCTTGCGTAGCGCAATGGCTCATTGTTAGCAATGAGTCTTTAAATATGTCTCCAAAATTTCGTGGTCTTTCTGTGCATTTAGATACATTTATTTGTAAGTATGTTGATTATGGTTGTTAAATGCCTCTCTAATAGATTCATCCAGTTTAAGAGTCCCTATTTGCCGCTCAATTAGCAACTGAACTGAAGCTCAAAATCTTTTTCATAGACCAACGTATTGCACTACTTGACCGACCAGTCATGTATCTTGTCATTCCTGTATAAGAAGCAACAGTTCTTTGTTCCTTTGATCTTCATTCTCAAGGTGAGTCTTTCTATTTGAAGATTTCCCATCAGCATTGTCTATTTTCTGAAATGATGTATAATTAGAATATTTACTTGGCATTGTCTTTCACGGTAGATTTTTGATGTGTGATCATGGTGTTATTGCATGGGCGGCATGACAACATTTTTCTAAAATATACCAAAACTAGATAATCATTATGCCTTGGAAATGATCATGTTGGCACAGGTAATATGTAAAGCTGTTAACCTTCTTTAACTACCGTTGCGGCCAAAATACAAAACGATGACCGCACGTTTTGTGCGCCGATGCAAAATCAACCAGTAGTCCACAACACTCTCTGTTTGCAACTTTCCTTATATTGTAATTCCTGTGCGACTGAGGTTTTTTCAAAGAAAATTTAATTTTTTTCATTTCTTTATTCTATGAAAGTTGTAAAGTGGTAAATTCTGTAAATCCTTGTTCAACAGGCCTTGGTCAATACAACAGACTACTTCATTTATAAGGAGCTCATCAAAGGTTTTGAGAAAGATGCTGGTTTTAAAGAGTGCGTTGGCTTGGCTTTTATCTGTATTCCTGAATGTCGATTTTAAAACTCTCACTATCGAGGAGTTTTCTTTGATTGTTTGCTCTGATGAGAAAGACAGTCTCCTTTGGGTTTTTTATCAATCAATTACAACTGCACCTATCCTTATCTCCTTCACTTTGTGCTAGTGATTGGTTTATATTTAAGGCACCAAGACGAGGCAACAGAACACTTCCATATGCACTAAATTTTGAAGGGTAAACCATTGAAAACAAGCACAGGAGAGCATTTTGCATTCTTTCGCAAAAATGATTCATGTGCAATACATTGCTAGAGAGACTGGTGACTTTTTCATTGACTATAAGCCATCCAAACAAATTGCAACTACCCCAGTTTCATAGCTACATAATAATGCGATTAGGATGCAAACTTTTTATTGAAAAGACAAAAAAGAATTCAAAGTTTGATTGTATAAAAATTGTAGAAGTGATATTATTTTCAAGAAATGGAACTGTTTTTCCTTTAAAAATCTTCAATGTGTCTTTGATATGTGGTTATCTTTGACAATTTTAGTGCAGTCTCAAGTATGCTGAGAGAGGCTCAAAACGAACAACTGACCAGCCAAAATTCAGTATTAAAGTATATAGGTAAGCATCAAACTTTTTATCCTACGAATTTTATGTTATCTGAAATCATTTAATGAGAATAGCAGCGTTTTTCGTTGCTATCCAATACACTGGAATACACTGGCTGTATTGCATTATTTTGGGAAAATGTTGAACATTCATGAGAGTAGATGTTATTCGAATTCGTTGTATTTTCTTATTTACTCTATTTGTTGTCTAGAACAGTACGGTTCTAAATTGCTACTCCACGCTTAATATGATCATCAGACGACTGTTCTTGTGTCGGCATCAGCAATAATGTTTCTACAAGAGAGTAGAATTATGTGAAGCAATATCAAAGCAGACAACTTGCAAATTTTCATTGTCATTTTGTATATTTTTGTAGTAACGATCACTTTTTCTTTATGTTGTATCATTCCCTGTCTATTTGCGTTTTTAATGCCTTTTGGCTATTGCTATTTTCATCGCAAGATTTGGAGAACCCTGAAGATGGCCAATTCAGCACTTGTTCCTTTTTGCATATTTTTCATTCAAGGGAACCCTATTTTGATGTGTGGTCTCGTGATAAACAGCTTTTGAATCTTTCTGCCATATTTGCTTAATATTTCATAATGAATTTTAGGAGAAAAGTTCAGAGTGAAGGTTAATTTGCCGCCATGGTATTCTGATGAAGAGGTTGGCTCGTTTTTGATAAGGTGTGTTTGAAGAAGTTTCTTCGAGTATACAAGCAACATGTCTGCTTTCTTAAGAAGTGGAAAAAAATTTGCCTTCTTGATTTGTAATTTTTAAACTGAATCCACCTTTGAGCTCATTTTTATATTTTAATTTTTTTACACCCATTGGAAACATTTGAAGAATTTTCGCTTTTAAAGAGGTTTTACTATGATAAATTGAAAACATGGCATACTTCTTAAAGACTTGTTTTCAATTTGCGCCGCATTTTTCATTTTTAAAGTTTTGGAACATAAGTTCCCTTGCATTTCGTCCTGTATTATTAAATTTTGTCTTTTCCCTTCATGTTGTTCTATTTTCATGTCCTTCTTTAATTATTTCCTGTAGGAATTGCGTGCTCATACATCTGAACGATGGCATGGACAAATTCAATTTTCTCGTGTAAGCCCAACATTCAAATAACCTCTTGTTTAAAATTCATATTTTGTAAAAGTAGATGCATGTAATCAATGTAAAAGGAGCACTTTTGAGAAAGCAGGAATAGCTTGCGAAGATACTGAACACAGTCCTGCCATGCAATCGGAATAAGTAGTAAATAAAAAATTCGTTGGTGGAAGTGATTGGTCAGAACTGGTTCTCTGTAACCTTTTTAGGCTAGATTTTTTTGTTCAAATGCAGTTTTTCAATTGCGACCTCTTGATTTAGCACTTGAAAACAATACTTATTTCTTTTAATGTCTGTGTATAAACAAGCGATTTGCTTAATGAATATATTTTTTCGAAATATAATTCAAAGCATTGCTTGTCTGGACAAGATATCATTTGCACTATCCCGTAGAGCTGCTCCGTTAACTGTTTGTATGTTGGACTAGATAAAAATCAACTTTAGTCGTCTAACTTTTAATGTAAACTTTTAAATATCGTATTTTTAAAGGTTTATGACACAGAAGTTGTATGACTTGGTAAATGACAGATGTGCGCCCGAGTCTCCCGACAACCCAATGAACCAAGAACTTCTGTTAGGTGGACACTTGTACCTGATGGTGCTCAAGGTTGCTAATTTTTATTCATAGCTGTTGTTATTTTTTCTTTTTTCTTAACTGAGTTACAAAATTATTGATGAGGAACCTTGCAGCCTCGAATTATCTTCTTACGTGGTAAAGTATTCATTTCAAACAACAGGCGAATGGACCAATACAATAAATATATTAATTAATGTATCATTCGGTTAATATGCTAAAAATTTTGAAAAACATCTTTTTTACCCTCCAGTTAACTCTTTGAAAGACAGAATCTCCAGACTGTTTTCATTCAGATGTATTTTTGCCATGTAGGAAAAATTGGAAGTTTGGTTCAATTCTGTGAGATTATTTATTGAAAGGACAGCAAAGCAGAAAGGAGGACTTCTTCAGATCAACAATTGTTAGTTGAATTTTTCTGGAATTTTTTTAAACTCGTTTCCCTATCCTACTTAATCCTACTAAATGACTTGACTAAAGTGTCTGGCAAGATTGATTGTGATACCCAGCAACTTCCGCCCCTTCCCCCAGAGTAATGTATAATACCAAAAAACTACTTTCTAATCTTTCATGTCGTGTAAAAGTATGCCAATATTGTTTAAAGGGGAGGGTGGGTATGTTTAATTCACCCCTGAAAACTGATCCCAAGACTTTCGTTCCAAGACTTTTGGTCAATAAAAGGAAAGTGATTGTAAATTTGTTTGAAATCTGGGGCACCTTAAAAGAGAAAGAGTTTCGTCACATTTCTGCTATTTTGGAAAGTACAAAGACTGATATTGTAACATAAAGACTATTGCAATTATTTGATATTTTTCAAATTCTATATTTCTTTACTATGAAGTATCACGTTGATTTTTTGTTTTTCTTTAGCCTTTATTGAAAGGGCTTTTGGCAAGGCGCAGAATGTAGGAAAACAAATGGAGTATTTCCTGGCCACTGGAAACCTCTTATCAAGAACAGGTCTTGGGCTTATGCAGGTATGGATCCTCAAGTTTTCCTCTCAGCTTTATGTATTAAGCAAGCCTTGCTAAGATCTGCTATTTTAGCATGCATTTGTACTGTGTTTTGTCAAAAATGGCACGTGTGTGATTCTTATGTGATGCTTATTCTTGATTATCCATACTCTTCGCTGTTAGTGAGATTATTTAAGAAATGTTTTTAGAGAAGCAGATTTAAACTTAATTCTTTCCACGGTCAAATCACATTAGATTAAGAACAGATTTTATTCTCTCTAAGACCGCTGGATTTGCTGTTGTTGCAGACAAGCTGAACTTTATGAGATACCTGTCCCATTTCCGTTGCGTCCACCGTGGAGCATTCTTCTCTCAGATGAGAACAACATCGGTCAGAAAACTGCTTCCTGAGGCTTGGGGTTGGTATTCTTTATTCAGTCGCTCCCAAAACTTCTATTTTGAAAACGTAAGGGAAACTGAAAAGATTTCGCTGTAATGTTTGAATAGTGCTACAGTTTGGGTAGGATCGGCACATGCCTCTCTCATTATTGATATAATAAAGACGTTGCCTGACCCAGCTAAGTAGTAAGATGTAAATAAGATGCTTCTTACAATTTATTGCACCACATCCCCCCCCCCTAAACACACGATACCAGTTTAATAAAAGCCATTTTGAGTATTCTAGAGTACTGCTGCCTCCACTTCACCTTATCTTTACAGCGCTAATCCTCGTAGCGCTTGGGGGTAGAAAACCTTTTCCCCTACCTGTAACATTTCCGTTTCTTGGGCAACAAGCTTCTTTTCACTTGCAACACAATATTGCCTACTCACAACAAAGCTGTGTAGACTAGCTTTCACATGTAAAAGTTAATACCATCCTAGGTTTTAGGCCTTTTGTCCCACTGAATTTGGTAAAAATATCATGTTGCAACAAGCAAGATTGATGATTTTCCATGTCTTTCTCCGTATTTTATATTATCTTTGTTTGGTAGTCCTGGACAACCCATGTTATGTGTGCCATAAATACTGAAGCCTTTAATCTGGCTTAAGACATTTGCTTCAATAATATTCAGGACCAGTAAATGTTTTTTTCAGGATTCTTCTGCCCCGTCCATACACCTGATGGAGCTCCTTGTGGTCTTCTAAACCATTTGACAGCATCTTGCGAGGTAAAATGCTTAACATATCCATTTCTCCTTAACTTATTTGCATAATATCAAGCTTAAATCGATTTGCAACAATTTTTTTTAAGACTGTAGTGCTGTTCGAAGATAGAATTCTAATTTTTCGTAGCAAATTTCAAGTTGATTTTCTTCTTAAAGAGATTTGTCTTTTGTTTCTCTCCATATTGCTTGAGAATATTTCTCAGTCACTCCGATTTTTAACGTGGATCGAAAAGTATGCTATACAAATGCATATATTTTATTTGACATTGCTAAATGGCAATGGTCAGTTAATTAATGAGTGAAAAGCTCAATAATCATCAACTAATAATCCTCTCTCGTATAGATTGTGCATGCACAAAGCAAAGTATGATGGATTCATTCTTTCTCCATAGGTTGTTAACACTCCGATTCCGAAGGCCCATTTGAAAAAGCTGCTGATATCGTTAGGAATGGTTCCAACCGGTATGCCATTCCCTGCAAAGCACTCTTCTTCATACGTTGTGATGCTGGATGGAAAAGTTGTTGGAAGAGTCGTCAAAGACGAAGCGCAGGACTTCGTCGATAAGTTAAGGTATCTCAAAGCAACAGAGAAAGAAAAGGTGCGGCATTTTATTTTCGATTTGGCAGAAAAGTGTGAAACTTGAAGGGAAATTTTTCGCAGCATTGCCAAACAGTATATCTTGTTTGCTATATGATTTTTTTCTCAAAATCGCAAAGCACGACAGGAAATCTCTTAAGTAGACGGTTTTCAATCCATTTTATTTTTATAGCTATTTTGGACGGGTCCATTCCAAATCGAATCTTAGATTCTATGTACGGGTCCATTCAAAATCAAATCTTAGATTCCATGGACAGATCCATTAAAAATCAAATCTCAGATTCCATGGACAGATCCATTCAAAATCAAACCTTAGATTCCATAGACGAGTCCATTCAAAATCAAATCTTAGATTTTATCTAACCTTACCCGATAGACTGTTTCTGATTTTTGTATCTACCTTGAGCTTTGAAATGGGACGATTCTGGCCTACAGCCAAATGGTAAAGGAATAGGTGATTTTCTTACTGCATACAAACTATACTATGTCCTAAGTTTTTATAAGATTATAGTTTTTCCCCTCTCCTTAGGCAATTATTCTTAGGCGATTATTCTTAGGCGACATCTCTTGTTTATTTTGTTCAGGTATCTAGATGGCTCGAAGCAGTTCTCGTCCCGCGAACAAAGTTTGCCAGCCAGTATCCCGGAATCTTCATATTTACAAACATAGCAAGAATGATGAGACCGGTAAAAAACCTCAGAACCGGATCTGTGGAGTACATTGGTTCATTTGAGCAGGTATCTTGAGAACCCCCCTTATTTGTGTATTATTGGCCTAAGATGCCTCTGAATGTGACCAACAGTGCATCTTGAAGTGGTTAATGCAATCAAGTATCTTCATATGTAGTTTCTCAATCAGCTCACATAGTCCTTTATGTTTTTTTACTGGTAATATATTTAAAGTTTTTGTGTGAGTTTACTAAGCTCCGTTGATATGTTGTCACAATCACTGTTTCGATCTCATTTTAGGTATACATGGATATAGCTGTCTGCCCTAATGAAGCACACGAGGTATCGTGTATTGATCAAGTATCATATATTTTAAAATCTTCATATCTTTAAATTTATTTTAATTGCTTATTAATAGTAATTTTCAAGTCATAATACATTTAAAACAATGTCATTTTTTAATGGTAAGCAGAGCTCTCCGACCGACAATTTCCATCCAGATTCTTTTAATGCAATAATTCCCAGCTCATTTATTGCCCTATAAATGCTTTGTCTGCAGAAAACGACGCATTTGGAGCTTAAAGCCACGAGCATGCTTAGCGCCCTGGCATCGATGACACCCTTCTCTGATTACAACCAAAGTCCAAGGAATATGTACCAGTGTCAGGTTAATATTTTTCTGTAAGAAGATTATAGTGACCTTAATCGCATGAGCAAAGAATGGGGGTATGTTTAAAAGTCAAACTTCAAGTATGCTATGCTTTATAAAGCAGTAGAAACATGAGTGTAAATTTTTTGTAATTATTTCCTTGAATATTTGACTACTCCACCAAGCTTGCTGGGTAAAGTGTCATGGCTAGGTTCCTTAATCAAATCAGCTGGTCCAGCAATCAAGATGGTAACTAGAAATGCAGCCAAGCGCAAGTCATACGCAAAGAAGTCCTGTGACTACCCCCATCTCGTCGAGAACAAACTGCCGCGAACATAAATTGATCACATTATTATATTCATAATATTTTATTCTCAAATTTATTCAGATTGATTGTTAAAGCCTAGAAATCTTCATAGATAGCATTCTGTTGACCTACTTTTGAGCCATGGCACCGGACGATAATACAAAGGCTTCTTTTCTCTATTCAGATGGGTAAGCAGACGATGGGTACTCCTTGTCAAGCATTGAAATATCGCAGCGATAACAAACTGTATAGAATCCAGGTAACTGTTGTTTTTTGCTACTTTCCACAATGAAACCTCCCTAAGGAGTCCCACCACAGTCAATGTTAAGGTGGCCTTGCCTTAAGGTGGCCATACCTGGAGGTACACGATCTCCTTAGGTTACCATTAACTGGAGGTTACTTTTGTAAGGCTTCGACAGTAAAAATATTTTTGGGGCCAAATCTCTAATTTTTTGCATGTTTGTTTGTTTACCGATGTGTACTCTACGATGGAGATTTCATATGATTTCCATTTCCCCAATAAGAATGTTTTCTGCTTATGATGTGTAACTAAGGACAGTTGCCAATCCAAAACTTTAGCACCACATTTATTTGCCTTTAACTCATTTCTTGCACTGTTTAATAACACCGCCTCTCCGTTTTTCTTCTGAGGGCATGTGTTTTGTTTCGCAAAACTATTCGTGTAACTGAATCCTAAAACTGAATTTCTGAATGATTATAAACTTCCATTTAAATGTAACGTTATGTTGTATTGGAATTTGCAAAGGCATTTTAACTCTCTATGTGGGATACAGTGTTGTCCGTTATCAAGAAGTAATTCCCACAAGGCTTTGACTGTGAAGTTGAAAATATGGGAAAAGTCGTTTTCCCATTTTAAAACAGCATGGGGGGGGTGGAATAAAGTGATTGCAGAGCTCCGAGTTTTGTTGTTATTGTCAGATGTCTAAGTTGTTCTACTGTGTTTTCCTTTTCGTAACCAATATTGTTTTTCCTAGACGCCGCAAAGTCCTTTAGTTAAGAATGAAACTTACGATGAATATGGCACTGACAATTTTCCTTTGGGCATCAATGCTGTTGTTGCTGTGATATCTTATACCGTAAGCATTTGGTCTAAAATGGCCTTCTAATTTGAAATGATAATCCTTTCACCATATTTTATTCGAATAGATGTTGTAGTTTTTTACTCAGAGAGCCTTTGCATAGACCTTGCATTTTTACTTAGATCCTTGTGTTCTTGCCACAAGTCAGTTTAATTGATTAACTTCAATCCAGAACTACTCGACGTTTCAACCTCGGAGCTTTTGTGTGCGATTTTTGATATTTTGTTACTATAAGGCCGTTCGTTAATACGTCGATAAACATTGTAAATATATATTTTGTACCCTTGCTTGTGTTTCTATAATTTTGAAATTCTCTAGCCTAGCGTTCGGTAACAACGAATTTCATCTATCGAACTAGCACATATGTCTTACTTTTCATGATATGTTTCAAACATCACAACTATTTTTACATTTGTCTTCCTTATTTTGCCTATTTGTTATATATTATAACTTCCTTGTCATTGTAATTTTGAATGCTCAATTCTACCTCTATAAATATCACTTTTAAATCAGTGCTTTTATTTATGAATATACGCTCTAAGTCAGTGCTTTTATTTATGAATATACGCTCTGATATCGACAACGAAGATATTTGATAGTTGAATCTTTTGAAAGGAGTTCATCTCTTCTAAGGAGAATTAAGGAAACATTTGAGTATATGTTGTTCACAATTGTGGTATCTTTAATGCCTGTAAAATTTACTTGATTCAGAAAAATTTACGATTTAAAGCTATTATTCATACATCTTGAGTAATAAATATATAATTTTATACATCACACACTCCTCTAGGCCACTTTTTTCAAAAAGTAAGAGTTTGTTCCGTTCATGTTTTCTTGATAATGGTACTGAAGGTTTCAGAATTGACTTGTACTATAAACTGTGCTTCTTTATAGGGCTACGACATGGAAGATGCCATGATTATAAACAAAGCTTCGCTTGAACGAGGTTTTGCTTCTGGCAGCATTTACAAATGTGAAGTAAGGCACATATAACTTTTAAACCAATTTCCTAATGCAAGTGAAGGAGAATCGTGTTGATTCGAATTGAATAGGCTGGCACAATTACTGAGACACAGTGACATTCATTGTTGTCAAATTGAATTTAACATCAATGATCTTTTTGAAATGACGTTTTCATATCCTTTCTCCAGACAATAAATCTGGCTTCAGTAAGCGACGAAAGAGGAACTTGCTCACTCCGATTCGGTAAAAAATTTTCTTTGGCATAGTTGATAAAAGCAGTTATTTTAAAACTTGGTTTTTAAATCGATTTGGACATGTACTCAGAGTATACTTTTCCCATTGCCTTGGTCCTTTTGAATAGAGAAGCAACTTCAAGAGTTTGAAATGAATTTGAAGATGGAATGAAGTAGTGGAAACATAGGATACTGAAGTACTTTTTCGTTCGACACTCTTGAGCGTATAAATATCGGATCCGGCTATTTCCTGCCATATTCAAATTTTGCAGTGCCAAAAACTCACTTGGTTATCATAAAAATGCCTTGATAATGTGACATGGAGGAATTATATAGTGCATATTTTTCCTTAATTTGTTTACAAGGATGCAAAGAGGATGACCCAAATGTTGAAGCAGGCTTTCTTGATGTTGATGGTTTGCCTCCAGTTGGCAGATACGTGGAGCACGACCAGCCGTATTACTGGTAACTTAGTTTGGTATTCTGTTGATACCGTTGAAAGTACTTAACTTGTATTGCTAGTTTTCATGAAAATGATTGGTGGAAAATGAAATGATATTCAATTCTTTGGACGTATTTCTAGGGATTTATGCTATAAACATACGATGTGGTATGCCAAGCCTCTAGTACTTGACGAAATAAATTTTTCATATTATTGTATCTAATAAGTCATTGGAAAGAAGAATACGAAAATGAGGCAATTAACATTAACCAAAATAACTCTAGTCAAACTTTCCACCGACTCTTTGAAAGATAATGTTATAGGAAATTTGCCTGGTTGACATATTAGTGTAAAATGAATTGTGGGTATGACAACGCATCCATCTTGAGTGAAAAATAGTTGTACTAGTGCGTTGGTAAGATTGTCACCTCCCATGCCTACGCTGGCAGCTGGAAGCCCCTTTCCAAATTTTCAAGAGAGTTTGGACCTCTGTACCAAAGACGCTAAAGCTTCACCCACTGGTCTAATGCTATTCCTCGGGAGTTTGCCGGTGTTAGAAGCAGATACTTATAGTTCAAATCTCGCTTGCTGTTATAGGGATTTTGAATGGTATTTCTGTCCAAACTCCTTTCAGAATATGACTTCTTTGAATCTATATATTTTTATTATTTTAGCTACTACGATTTGAACACAGGCGCTTACAAGACGAAGAAGTTCAGCAACTTAGAGCCTGCATATGTAGATGATGTAAGTTTGGATTTGGATGCCACTAAAGTTGAAAAATAAATTGCCAACTTATACCAAGATTGAAATGAAAGCGAAATTGTAGTTTCTATTATCTTTAGTTTCACATTTTTTATTGTTGTCTGCTGTCTAAATCTTTAGAGCTCTTTTTCAATATTTATCTACAAATTCTACTACTCGTTTTCAATTTTCAAGTTGAAGTTGGTACCTTTGTTCATCTTAAATGTTCATTTGTTCATCTTTGTTCTTTGTTCATTTGCTTTTTAAAGGTGAAGATACTTGGAAATGCAAGAGGAGATGGAGAACTTAACAAAGTCGCAATTAGACTGAGAATCGAAGTAGGTCATCGCAGTATATTGACGTAATGCACAACAATCTATTATTCTATATAATGCGATAAACATTCTACATTTTACGTTTTAGCTTGCATAGATGTTAAGAATATTTACACGTATATGCCTTTGAATTCCTCTTAATGCTCCATCATCGTACCTTGTACGACCAAGTTATTATTTTCCAATCGAGGTCAATCTTGGCCTAGTTCTCATTTTTATCTTAATTTCAATCTTCAGAGAAATCCAATTATTGGTGACAAGTTTTCAAGCAGACACGGGCAAAAAGGAATTCTGAGGTAGTTTTTTGTCATCTGTTTTTATCTTACATAGTATAGTATGAACAAGAATAGTAAAGTAAAGTAAAGTAAAGTAAAGTAAAGTAAAGTAAAGTAAAGTAAAGTAAAGTAAAGTAAAGTAAAGTAAAGTAAAGTAAAGTAAAGTAAAGTAAAATAAAGTAAAGCAAAGCAAAGCAAAGCAAAGCAAAGCAAAGCAAGACATGGCATGGCATGGCATGGCATGGCATAGCATAGCATACGATAGTATTGTATAGTATAGTATAGTATAGTATAGTATAGTATAGTATAGTATAGTATAGTATAGTATAGTATAGTATAGTATAGTATAGTATAGTATAGTATAGTATAGTATAGTATAGTATAGTATAGAATAGTATAGTAATAGTATGAGTATTAGTATAGTAAGTATACGTATATACGATAAGTATAGTAAGTATAGTATAGTATATATATATATGTAAGTATAGTATCGTATAGTTAAGTATAATGTAGTATAGTAAGTAAGTATATGTAATAGTATAATATTTATAGTATAAGAGTATGTATAGTCTATAGTATATATGTATATATAGTATAAGTATAGTATATATGTATAGTATGAGTATAGTATAGTTATAGTATAGGTATAGTATAGTATAGTATAGTATAGTATAGTATAGTAAAGTATAGTATAGTATAGTATAGTATAGTATAGTATAGTATAGTATAGTATAGTATAGTATAGTATAGTATAGTATAGTATAGTATAGTATAGTATAGTATAGTATAGTATAGCTGTAGTCGCGTCAGGACAATGATGGCAAACTACGATTAAAGCCTCCCCCCACCCCACTTGCCTAGAGCTCCCCACTCCAAATTTTGCTTCGGCGTCCCTGTGCAAGGGTGCTGCCCAATTCTTTCGAACCACTTATGGCCGGAATCATCTCCAGTTTGCTATTTCAAAATCCAACGCTTATCCACTGAGCCAAGCGGCCAATTGTAATGAGCGAAGAAATTTGGAAGCAACACTGGAGATTTCACCGTAGCCAAGAATAACGTTTAAATCTTTTTCTTCAAATAGCATGAAATGGCCAATGGAAGATATGCCATTTACAGAGTCTGGTATGCAACCAGATATTCTCTTCAATCCTCACGGCTTCCCTTCGCGTATGACAATAGGTAAGCCTTTTTTCTTGTTATTGGTTAGTTGAAGTTTGGTGGGCTGTTTTAACCAGTGTCTGTTTACCTGCAATCTGGTGCACTTTAAGGATTTTAATTGCGTGAATCCTTATGCAAAGTTTGGTGTATCTAGCATCCCTATTCTGTGCTGGTATACCCTAGTTTTGACTAGCTAAACCCAGTATGTGT